ATCATGTATAATATCTTGAATTTGGGGCTGTGACAATTGTGCTTCAGCTATTGCATATATAGAATCATGGTGGAAATGGTGGAAATTCCATGGTGATAAATATTTTTCAGCCTCACTGCTTATATTTGTGAGAAACTTATAACTCCAACTCAAATCAATTTCTATTAGATTCGTTAATTCCTTATTCCTCTGTGGATCTGTCGTGATCAAGGTCACTTTATGGCCCCTTCTGAAGTCTGGAGTCTGGAATTGTGGGGAGGGTAGCAAAGCTACAGCACTTAGGCCCCATTGGGCCCCTTGTACATCCTCCCGTTAGAGAGATCAATCCACCTGAGCCGCCAACCAGCCTATTACAGTGAAAAAGGTGGTGACGTTGCTCAGGGGGGTCTCTCTAATATAGGCCATTGAAGGCCAGCGCTCTCCCAACATGGACTTTCTTGTTGACGAGACGGTAGTGCATTCACATAGTAAGTGCAACACCGTCTCGTCTTCCTGTTCACTTCCCCTACAAAGAGGTGTTTCACACTTCCCCATATTGTAAAAGTGTTTCCTTAGCCAACAGTATCCAGTTTGAATACCTGTCACCAGGCGAAGATTTGACCTAGACATAGCCAGGTATTTTTTGGCTGTGTCTTTGCTAGGATACACTAAGAACTCCTTAGCAAAGTGACAGCTGATTGTTTCATCCCACCGTTTTTATGGCCCCTTAAAGAAAGCTGTTTCCAAAGGTCGCGAAATGCTGCTTGGTAACTATACATTGGGCATGGCACAAATGCCAAGATATTAACACTAGACACCATAGACTCGAAAACTACCACTAGAATTTCATATCCAAGAAACATTTCGAATATTCACAATATACTCACTAATGCCATATACTGACTATCAGTTTTTACACCGCATGAAATATTGAAATTTTCTGATAAGTTAAGAAAGTAAAAAATTTTAATGCAAACTAATTAAGTTGCATGGAAATAATGAAAATACGCAAGGAAACTTGTAAGTCGCTTGAATACTGGGGGTCCACATAAAAAAGGACATCTGCCTTATCCCAAGGATGTAATAATGAAGTAATAATAATAAAGTAATAAATATCAATTAAAATAAGTGATGCATTAATTAGTCTTAATTAATTTTACATTATTGGGAGTACATATTATTTTCTTCTCCAATATTCGCAATACCAAATAAAGGGTGTCCTATAATTCACGCAAGAAGTAATTTTGATAGAAAACACACGTCTTTAATTAAAAATGTAATTCTATTATTGATTCTGAGAGTATGCAGTATAGTGATCCGAATTTTATGCAGGAAACTTCGAGGAGAGATAGATCTCTTTAAAATAAAAGGTGTTTGCCTTATAAACATAGGTCTGGAACGGCCTCGTTTTAGAGACACAGGATGTTGAAGTTGTTAAAAAAATATATTTTTTGTTTATATTTCAGGAATCTATTAACCTATCTCAATAAAATTTGGTACAAATAATGTACGATAGTAAGCCTTACATTCCCTAAAATATGAGCTCTAAAGGTTTAACCAGTGGTGTACAACTGGACAGGGGTCACCCTCTTTTTATAGAAAAAAACCTACGCCACTGTATTTTATACAAGTTATTGTAACGGATTTATATTCTAATGCACTAAATACGTAAAAAAGGTGACTTGAATTTTCTCCCTAAGGTCCGCCAGTTTCAAGTTATTCATACAAATACAATCCCCTTGTGGCAGACACTTCAAATCATAATATTACAATAGTATATTGTGCAATAAGTGCGCTAAGTTGTCTATTGCCCACGAGAGCGCAGTTGCTCATCCGCTCAAGTGGGCAATAGACAACCGCACGAATTGCACATACTATTTTATGAAATCTGAGAATCCAGGAGCGAAGCCCCGGTGGGGTCCACATATTTTCATTCAGTTTAAGTTGACCAAATAACTGTCATTTAAATGTCACTTATTAATAATAATATTTTCGAGTGTGTAAATATTTAATTTTTGCGTGTTTTATTGCTAATTCACGTGCGACAAGTAATAATACCGCACGCAAATAAATAGAGTGGGCAAACGGCTAGTTACCGACCTAAAAAACATGCGAAAACATAGGACTTATCCGTCATGAGTAATAAAAAAATATTTATGTTTATGCTTAAAAGTAAATGCAATTTGTAAGCACACGAACAAAATTCTTTCCACATCACTTGTGAGGTAGTGTTCCTGGTGTGTTTTAGTTTTCCCTGTAGGCATTATCTTTACAAATAAGAACAATCTAAGACAAAATAATATTAAAAATACATTTACCAAGCAACAACAACTAAACAAGAAACAAAAATAACGTTACGTATTTACAGCAATTGTTTAAAATGCGAACCACCCACATCGATACATTTCTGACATCTTCTATTAATGGAACTAATTGAAGCTAATATCATGTGGTGGTTTTCTTTTAATTCATTACACCCATCTTCTATTCGCTGCAGTAGTTGTGGTCTAGTATATATTGGAGTAGAGTAAACTTTTCAGGTAGATCACCCCAGACATAGAAGTCCAGGGAATTTAGATCTGGCGATCTGGCTGGCCAAGACACTGGACCCTCTGCACCATTATGGTCTTCTACCTATCCATCATCTCATACAATTTTCATTAAGCCATTTTTGTATTATTCTCCTAAAATGCGCAGGTGCACCATCTATTTGTATCCAGCTATTTTGTCGTATATTTAATGGAACATCCTCTAATAATTCAAATAGATGGTCGCCTTGTGAACGTAGCCTCATCGGTCCAAAGTATTTCTAGTAAGAATTCAAACTGATAAAAATTCAGGCGTCTCTCTGCATCTCCCGAAAGTAAATGTTGCACAGGTTGTAAATGCCATACTTACGTAGAACTTTTCAAATTTCCGATTTACTCACCCCAAGATGCCCAGACGTTCTTCGTGTACTTAGCCGAGGATCGTCGCCTAATGCTTTTAAAATTTTATTTATGCGCCTTTCATTCCTTTGTCGTGATTTTCCAAATATTGTTTTAATCCAAAAAGATGAGTGTAAAGAATTTTGTTGATGTGCTTACAAACTGCACTTACTTTTAAGCATAAACATTAATATTCTTGTAATATTATAGTTAGAAGTGTCTGCCACAAGGGAATTGTATTGGTATGAATAACTTGAGAACGGTGAACTTTAGGGAAAAAATTCAAGTTACCTTTTTTACGTATTTTGTGCATTAGAAAATAAATTCTTACAATAGCTTGTAAAAAATACAGTGGCGTAGGTTTTTTTTATAAAAAGGGGGTGACCCTGTCCAGTTGTACACCACTGTTAAATCTTTAGAGCTCATATTTTAGAGAATACAAGGTCTACTAACATACATTGTCTGTACTAAATTTTATTGAAATCGGTAGATGGATTCCGGAGATATAAACAAAAAATATATTTTTTTAATAACTTCAACATCGCGTATCTCTAAAACGAGGCCGTTCCAGACCCATGTTTATAAGGCAAACACCTACTATTTTAAAAAGATCTATCTGCCCTCGAAGCTTCCTGCATAAAATTCGGACCACCCTGTATAGTGTTATACATGTCCGCGGATTGAGTTTACAAGAGGACAAATGGACCAAAAAGTGAAAGATACGAAAAAGAAGCATTCTTGATAAAAGTTTCTGCTCGTTTAGAAAATACCAATCACCATGACGAACTTCAATTTTGTTGTACAGGGTGGATCAAAAACAAAAAATTGTTATTTTGCGTAAGAGCATGCCATTTTGCAAGATACGAAAAACAGGCATTCTTGATAAAAACTCCTGTGATGTCCCTTAGAAATCGTGCTAAATAATTAGAAATTGTGAAAAAAGTCATATTCAGAAGATTTTAAAAGAAAATATATTTCCTTTAAAATCACACTTTAATCAAACATTGAAACAAAATTTTGAATGAAAATATTGATTTTTATAAGTTTATTATGTTTTCTAATGAATATACATTTTCTACTAATGGAATTGTAACATCCCAGTACGTCAGGTACTGGCCTCCAGATAATCCTGAATTTAGAATAATGACAAGACAATATTTTACAAAACTAAACGTGTGGTGCGCGATATCTGTCCATGGCATTATAGATCCATATTTTTACAATAACACCTGTAATAGAATATCGTATTTAGAAATGCTGATACATTTTTTAGCGATAAACTCGGTGAGGTAACACAATGGCGTAACCATAGATTTGGTCCAATATGGATTGGTGGAAATGGTCCAATTTTGTGGCCCCCAAGGAGCTCTGACTTAACATGGCCGATATGTTTTTATGAACTCTGTAAGCATGATGATGCAAATATTTCATGAGAATACTCTGTAGAGAGCTTCTCGAAATGTCCAATTCTTGATCACAGTGCAGAATTGATGTTCCTGGACTTTCAGCAATATTCTCATGAACCGCTTCGATGTTTTGTGTTGAACTTCTTGAAGGACGGCCAGACTTTTTAAGGTCACTAACTGATACCGTCTCCCTAATTTCAAATAATCTCTTCACAGTTGATGGAGTTAAGTCGCTATTCCAACCATGTTTTGTACGAAATTTGCGAATTGTAGCAGGCTGCCAAATCTTCATTATTTTTAAAATATTGCTCAATAATGAAGCGCTCCATTTTTACTAACCCTAAACTGTCATCTGTCACGATGCCTTATTTGCTATACTGTACCGCACAAATGGCGCTAAATTAAAATCTTACGTGAATTTTGGGACACAAAGTATGCATGAAAAATAATTAAATTTTCTGCAGAATAACTTCATAAATATATATTATCTGAAAAGGAAAAGTGATTAAAAAATATTTTATGGGCAATCCATTTTTATTTCTATACTCAAATGTATTCATATTTTGTTTAACAATTTACATTTAGAAAGTTGTCATCAAACATTATTAATTTTAGTCGTTTCTTTAAAAAAATAACACAATAGTTAAAGATAACTTTACAGCTCTTATAAACTAATTTTGCTCATTTATTTAATTTCAAAATTTAAAACTTTACATAATACTTATCGTGACCTATGTCACTAACTAGTTAATCCTTTTTCTCCTCTTAATGTTCTGTCGCTAGATGTGAAAAACTAAAAAATTGTCATCAATAAATAAAAGTCAATTATAAAATTCGCTTAAAGCCTATTGTGATTTTTTCTTTGTTATATCTAGTCTACCCACTAGATGAGCTTTAAATAAGTAATAGACTTTCTTAAACAAAATAAAGAGAATTGATGATGTAATCACTGTTACTGAAATTAGGAAACCTATAACATCTAAGAGGTAATACTGATATAGGGGTAAATCAGCTGCAGGATTCCTTAAATGCTTAGCGCCCTTATTTCTGATGACGTATTCGGTCCACCATATGGCCTGCTCTAAACCTGTCATTGGTGTGTCTAGGGAGAGTTGTTTGAGCCTGCGCGCTGAATTTTTGTATCTGTAAGCAGAAACGAGTAATTCATATTTACTCAGTTTAATAAAACACTGTTAGGCCGTCAGCCCGCTGCAAAAAAACCGAATGATTCCTCCACCTATGCCCTTCAAGGTATCGTTAATTATGCACAGTGTACAACCGTGGAACAAACACCGGTAAAGGTAATTGTTAATTGAAAAAAAAATCGCGTTTTACAATTACATTTACACGCATGCCGAGCATACTAAACGGTATTTTAGCAACAACAATTAATCGGAAAACGGTCGGCATACGGGCAGAGTGGAACCAAAGGGTCTGGTGACACCCTTAAAAGTGTAAATAAATATTGCATTTGTAAATGATTGTTACACGTACGCCTATTCGAAATTCAATGGTTTTTGGCATAAAGTGCATAATTTCCAAAGCGCATACAATTCCTGAAGTTCTAATTAATTTCACGCCTGTATGACTGCGTATTAATTGCACAGGTATGACAATGATAATGCCAAATTACATTAAGATTGCAAAATGACTGTTTCATCATGAACTTTTGATTTCTTAAAGGGCATACGATTATCGTTGAACTCATTCTAAAAAAACTGTTTTAAAAAGAGCAAATTTTTATTTTTTTTTTGCAGCGGGCTGAGGGCCTATGTGTTGTGTCAGTAAAGTAGACCAATATTTATATATTTCTCAGTTCATCGATCGATCTGAATAATAACTTTCTTAAAAGGTTAAGTATTTTATCTTAGGTTTTTCCTTTTAATGCACTGAATATATCTTAATTTTGAAAGCATCCTTATACAGGGTGTTCCTTAATGATATGCGAATATTTAAGGGTGTGATTCTACATGAAAAATTAATGATAGTTTGCTTTGTAAACTATGGTCCAAAAATGTTACGTTGCGAAAATACGAGGGGTTACAATTTTAGTAAAAAGAAGGAAATTAATATTTTCGAAACCGCTTGAGATATTTCAGTGATTTATTACTTGGTGATAGTTAATTATGGTCCAAAAATGTTACATTGCGAAAATACGAGGGGTTGCAATTTTAGTAAATAGAAGGAAATTAATTTAATATTTTCGAAACCGCTTGAGATATTTCAGTGATTTAGTACTTGGTGATAGTTAACAAAAACGTATGATTTTCAATACATAATTTTTAACTCTTAACAGTGGCGTGCGTGCAAGCACTGACTGATATTTTTTAAGAAAAAAAATGGTACGCCAATGGTTTTTTCCCAAATAAAAATTTATTTTTGAAATCTCCGTTCAATTCGAAAGCTAAGAGCTCTTGAGTCTTGTCCGGCCATGCGCCGTTTTCGAGAAAAAAGTAAAACCCGTTGTATTATTAATTGTAATTAATTAATGTAATTACTTGAAGAATACAATTTTGCAATAAACCTAGTTAACCTGGAATGTGTCACTTGCATTTCTGACATTTTGGAGTAAGTATCTATCTATCATTCAAACCTGTTCGCTGTGAATATTTTCTTATTATCCCAATCGTGCGTGGCCAGATAATTGGGCCTTTTCTAATATGCATCGTCATCTTCTTGAAACTGGTAGTGTCCGAAAACGTACATGAAGGTAGACCTCGAAATAGTAACACCTGAAATTGAGGAAGCGGTGCTGCACTAAGTCGAAGAACATCCTGGAACGAGTACGAAGAAGATCGTTAGATATTTGAATATTTGCCACCAAATTGTTTGGAAAATTTTAGTGGATTTTTTCCGTACTACATTTTAAGAGTATAGGTATTACTTCTTAGAGATTTTCCAATGCGTGTGGCCCTTTGTAAGTAATATTTTCATTATGTTATGCGCAAAATCCGCAATTTAAATCACACATTCACGAAAGAAGCTAATTTTTCAAGAAATGCCAATCAAAATTTTGAAATTACACAACAGTCATTTGTGGGCGAATGTAAACCCATTTCCAACAATAATTTTCGGTCAACGTATGCGCAGGAATCATTGGTAGACACTTTATTGGACCATTCTTCCTGCCGGGACGACGGACAATCTTGCCTTTGCTGCTTGAGTATGTTCCGATAGCAATAAGAAGCCGAATGTACATACACGATGGTGCACCAGCACATTTCAGTGTAATGGTTCTCAATTATTTACAAACAGTTTATCCAAATCGATGGATTGGCCACGGTAGATCTCAAGAATATCCAACAAGTTCTACCAAGTTCTACCGAACTCAATAATTGGTTAGGTTCATTTTTAAGGGGCCATCTTAAGACGCTAGTGTACACAAGTCCCATTAATACTGTAGATGAATTAAGAGAAAGAATAATTGCAGTATTTGATAGAATAAAAAATACTCCGGGAATATTTCAACGAGTGCGCAATTCTATGAGAAGGGGGGCGGAAGCATGCTAATTAAGTGAAGGCGGTTATTTTCAACCATTTTTATTTTTAATAGTTTGATTGTTAGTTAGTTGTAATGTTATGTAAATGCTATATGTTGTTAATTGTTATTGCTCATTACACGCAGGTGCCAACCTGTAATGTATTTAATTTTTGCTATTAAATTATTAATAATTCTGATTTTTTTTTACTCAAAAACGGTTAATCGCAAAACAAAAATTCAAGAGAGCACTTACCTTTTGAATTGAATGCAGATTTGAAAAATAATTTTATGTGAGGAAAAAAACATTGGCGTACCATTTTTTTTCTTTAAAAATATCAAAGTCAGAGCTCGTACGCACGTCAGTGCTAGAGTTAAAACATGCGCCTTTATTAACTATCACTACGTACTAAATATCATTGATATATCTCAAGCGGCTTCGAAAATATTAATTAATTTCCTTCTTTTAGCTAACATTTTAACAGCTCGTATTTTCGCAACGGGACATTTTTGGATCATAGTTTATGAATCAAACTATCATTAATTCTCCATGTAGAATCACACCCTTAAATATTCGCATATCATTAAGGAACGCCCCGTATAAGTAGCAACACTAGCAACAGCTAGGTGTTTCCATTTTAACATACTTTGGGTTATTAATCACTTCAACAATGGCATTCTTGAGTTCCTTTTTCTTTACGTACGGGTGTCTTCCAACTTTTATAGCAAAACCTTTATTATTCATCAACCTAGCATTTTGCTCCTGATCACCAAAGAAAGGTATTACAACACATGGAACTTCATTATGAATTGTCTCCTCCATCGATTGCAAACCTCCTTGAGTTACGAATAGCTTTATGTTTGGGTGAGCTGTAATACATGAAATTGATTAAAAATAAAAATTTACTACTAATTTTAAGGCGATGACACATTATTTTGACGGTATACCACGATACGCTAGCCGTGCTTAATTAATAAAACTATATGAAATTTTTATGTTATTTATTAGTTTTAGTTTAGTTTTAGTTTTAGAGTTTTAATCCCGTGCTCATAGTTACTTTTAGGTTTCTGAGTGCTCAAACTTCAAACAAATTTCGATCTAATTTTTTTTTAAGATATTTTACAGGTATAATAAATTCCGATCATATTATATATATCTACATTTTCAACATGTGTCAAAACGGGAACGTTTTTGAACATTTACTGTATTTTGTAAGAAATAATATTCATTTGGAGTTTTGGTTGTTCCTATGTATTTTTAAGAATTAATTTGTCATAATGAAATTAAAATTGTATAATGTTTTAATTTTGACGCAACAACTTATCGATTTATGTATGACCAGTAAAGTTTTATTGTAACGTGTGATGGTAATAGTTTAAGTAACTAGATGGAAATCACAGGGTCTAATGACACTTAGAGTCTACGATAATTCAATAAACATAGCAATCTAAATAAAAAATTTAGATAAATTTGGAACGAATACATTGAAGATGAACAAAAAGTTTGAATCTGGTTCGGGCTGTATTGGGGGTCATTAAGGTTTGCAAAAAATGTAATACAATTTCCAGGGTCGTATTTAGAAAAATGAAGTTGATGATGGTCCCGGAGAGACGAAACGTTACATATAAAATTGATTATGCCATTCGATAGAGGGCAAAAAGTTGCCATGAGTAAATGTTCTTCTTTTTTCAATATCACCTCAAACAAGGCTGACATGAAACAAAAACGGATTTCCAAAATTTCGGTTTTTTCCAAATATTTCGAAAACCAATCATGTTAGCCTTGATTTTTTAAATGCATAATGTTGGTCCCCTAAGTATGCAACTTCGCCCCCATTTAACGTGGTCATATCCCTAGCCGAGACATAGTCAAATTTCTGGCGATTTTAGGTACTGAAATCTTGAAAAGTAAAACGTGTAGAACAAAAGTAAGCACAACAATAAAATCCTTGATGTTCTGTTTATTCATTGTTACTATTTAAATTTATTCAAACAAAATAATAACTAAAAAAAGCATTTGTAAAACATGCTTCTGCTGTTATCCTAACCCCACATTTTAAGAATTATTTTCACGTACTTATAAATAAAAGTAAACAATTTTATATGTAGGACTAAGCAAGTAAATGTTATAAGAATATTTACATGTGGAGTTTATATAAAAAGTTAGTATTTTCGTAGACTTCAGTACCTAAAAGCTTGATGGTTTGATCGTTTTTTGCACCTCTTTATTCATTTTACTTCGGTGTCTTTGAAAATACGCAGATGGCATGACATAACATTCCTATTATTTGATAAGCTTTAGATTATTCAGTTATTAAATGTTTGAAATTATTTGTCTTTGTGGAAAACACTATTTAAAGAATACGGCGCCCTTAAGCTACTTCATATCTCTTACCGTTTCCGATATCCCTGTAGTGAGAAGCGAATTTGTAACAACCTGTATATTCTAATCTATAATAATCTAATAATCTCTACAGTGTGTAACTTTTAGTGGGGGTCAGTTTTTTAGGGGTAATACTTCGTGTTCCCCTGAATACGAATCTGAAATTCTTTTTTTTAAATCATATAAATATTCGAGTTAATTAGTTTTTTAAAATGCACTTTAATTAGATATTATGCATGGATTTCCTTTTTGCAATATCAGACTTTTGTCAATATTAAAGAACAGACCAGTAAGACATTAAACGTTGAAGGCATAACGGGTGTTATAGGATAATAATGCCCTTGATGTACTTGAGTCAGAGCTCTATCTCGTCAACATTGACGCATTGTTATCCGTATATAGATACCTTATTTACTATTTGTTTCTGTAATAATTATTTCAATTTAAATTAACACATCAGTATGCTTCTTTTCTTAAATTATTAATTTTACTGAATTACTCACCTAATATACCAAGCTGGGGCGCCCATTTTATTAGTTTCACATTATCTGGTTTACCAGGTAACGTATCTGCTTCAAATTTCCATAGTACCTTATAGGGCAATTCACCCAAAGTCTCAAGGATAGCGCTTAGAGACTCCGCCTGGAGATCTTTGCTTTTAACGTTACTTCCTAAACTGAAGTAGATAAAACCGTTGGCAGCACTGTCCAAGAAATTTTTTATGTCCTGTAATAAATAGTGTTTGATTTATTATTATTTTATTCAAAAAACAGTTTAATATGTTATAATTTGTTATACTTTGTGACGATAGCGACTAAAATTTTAACAAATATAGAATATATTTCATATTGTAAACCATACAAAAGATTATTTAATAGAGGAGTATCTGGAAACAAACGGGCCATACTGTAAAGCTAACTCATTTGAATGAAAATAGACTGATTTAAATTCAATTACCTTTATTTCATACTGTACTGTAACGAGTTATTTCCCGGATTCATTTAAGTCCGGGAAATAACTCATTACAGTACTGAGTCCGGAAAATTTTTACTTCCCGGACTACTTTAAAGAAACACAATATTCACATTTTTAAAAGATTTTATCTTTAACACTACAAAATCAAGCCTATAAAAACTAATTATAATTATAATTAACAGTAACTGTGCAATGTGAATTTCCTTGCAGGCTGAATGCAGGAATACCTTTAGGGACAGAATCTTCACTAGACACGGTAGTGGTGGTGGATATAGTTGTTGCTTGGTCTGAAGAACCTGTATAAAGTTTTCTCCATTTTGAATCATCCTTGCTGCTTTTGTTTTGTTTTCTAAGGAATCTTCAATGTATTGTCCCGCAACAGATGAGCTTCTCCATGCACCATGACGCTTCAGTGTTGATAAATCAGCTCCCGCATTCGCCAAAATAGTGGCAGATGTTCTGCGGAAACAATGCCCCGTATATTTTTCTGGGTGTTCCAACTACTTCAAATATCCCGCAATTTTTTTTGGTGCACCCCTTCCCCCCTCAATGGTATGTATGCCCGCTTTTGGGAAACACATGTTCCTCTTCTATAACCCAAACAAAGACAATCTTCTTTCATATTTTTAGGTCGGAGCTTAACGTATTCTCTGAATATTTCCAGAAAGTTTATTCCTTCATTGTCGTCACTCAATACAGTGAATACCCGTTTTGTATTCGTCTTAGAAATGGGAATGGTTATAATTAGTTTGGTGCCACAATCTTCAATGTCTTTTAGGGTCATATGGTATAACTCTTCTCGCCGACAACCACCAGCAATGCCTATCATTGCGNTTTTGTTTCGGCAAGCTGAATTTATCACTGTAGATGCTAAATATTATGTACAGTAACATATTATTCCACAGTCATAAAAATGGGGGGAAGATTGTTTACACGGTGGTTAATTGTATAATTTTTACGTAAATTCTTGTTTTTCGCTTATAACTTTTCCATTCATTTCCACGAGAAAACAGTAAAGTACTTTTTTTTCGTCTTCAAAAGACCTACAAAACTGGCCCTCGAGCGTCAAAAAATATTGATTAGCTCAAAAGTTATAAACAGAAGAAATTTATTTATGACTTTTGAATTAAACATTTATAAACTGCGTTATTATTACCAGAACGTTTTGGCATCGCATCCTTTCATTCCTTATCACTGTCTAATAACTCACACGAAATCTGGAATCGGTAAGTTGAATAGTTTACAAGTTATGGCCTTATAAACAAATTAACTAATTATTAGTCTGGACGATCCCCAGGATCTTCCACGATCGCACTGATTTTTTTCAAGGTAGATTTCATAACAATACGTTGAAATCTATATATTTTTTTAATTTGCAACCTGAAATTTTTTTTATTTTTTAGCCTTAGTTGTAAAATGAAATAATCAACGCACGAACGTGACATAGTTATATTTTATTACATATTCGGAAAGCTTATGAAAAAAATATTGTCAAAATTCGTTGAAAAACAACGGAGTTACCGACTGTCAAATATATTATTTTTAAGCGAATTTCCCTTATTTAATGGCAGGACTATGAATATTATCGTCATTTTCTTCGGACTCGCTGTCGTTCGCTTCCCCCACCCTTCCACCGCGCCACAGCTCGCCGAAAATCAATGGACTTTGACAATATTTCTTATGCACTTAAAATACTTCCACAAAGCAAATATTTTTACCTGGGAAAGTACTAGAGTATCAACTTAATTTGTTGTTTTTCAACGAATCTTGACGATTTTTTTTTATCTTAAAGCTCTTTTCATAAGCTTTCTGAATAATATATAACTATATCACGCTCATGCGTCGTATATTTCATTTTGCAACTAAGGCTAAAAAATAAAAAAAATTCCAGGTTGCAAATTAAAAAAATATATAGATTTCAACGTATTGTTATGAAATCTACCTTGAAAAAAATCAGTGCGATCGTGGAAGATCCTCAGAATCGTCCAGACTAATAATTAGTTAATTTGTTTATAAGGCCATAACTTGTAAACTATTCAATTTACCGATTCCAGATTTCGTGTGCGTTATTAGAATGAGAGGATGCAATGCCAGAACTTTCGGGTAATAATAACGCAGTTTATAAATGTTTAATTCAAAAGTCATAAATAAACTTCTTCTGTTTTGTAGGTCTGTTGAAGACGAAAAAAAGTACTTTTATTTCATACTGTACTGTAATGAGTTATTTCCCGGACTCATTTAAGTCCCCCAATGGTATGTATGCCCGCTCTTTGGGAAACACATGTTCCTCTTCTATAACACAAAAAAAAGAAAATCTTCCTTCATATTTTTAGGTCGGAGCTTAACGTATTCTCTGAATATTTCCAGAAAGTTTATTCATACATTGTCGTCACTCAATACAGTGAATACCCGTTTTGTATTCATCTTAGAAATGGGAATGGTTATAATTAGTTTGGTGCCACAACCTTCAATGTCTTTTAGGGTCATATGGTATAACTCTTCTCGCCGACAACCACCAGCAATGCCTAACATTGCGATTACATGTAACAATAGATAAAATGGTTTAAAACTGATTGTCAAATTGATGAAATTTCGACTAACGAAACCAAGAAATGTATTTTTTGTAATTAATTGACATTGAGTACCTATATCATTCAAGATGCACATTGTTTAATTCAAAACTAATGAAAAGGTTAAACTTATTTACCTTCATCAAAAGATACTCTTCTGATGGGGTTTCCTTCATGAATCTATTAACTTCTTCTCTTGTTAAAACCTTTGATTTGTTTGCCTGATGACCAACTGCTTGCCTTTTTAAGAAAGCCACCAGTTTTGGATATTTTGAAATATCACCTCCTCCTTTTATCATCAGTATAGACTTGAGCATCGAATATTTTGCCCACATTGTCACAGGATTCATCTTTTTGGAGATATCCAAGAAGTATGCCAAAAGGATATTCTCATTCAGGCCGTTTTCCACCTTATAGGTTTTTCTCCACACGTTGAAGAGCTGGTATTCCTTCTCATAACGAGCAGAAGACTTCGTAGGCACCAATTTACTGGTTGCTTCAGCACATTTTAGCTCGATTTCTTCCATTTTTTACGAAAATTATCACAAAATACGCACGGGATGACAAACTGTCAAATTTGTTATTTTTGTTTTTAGATCACTAAGCTAAATCAAAAGCCATGCGATAAAACAAGAATCGAAACCATGCTAACACCTACATACAGGCAGGTTATGTAAAATAAAACATTAAAATTTCATTTTTAATACAACGCAGTATGAAATAAAACGTTGTACGATACACGGCCGTGAAATGTCATTAAAGTACTCGTCTAGAAATTCCTGACTCGGCTCCTTCGTCGCCTCGTCCGTAAACATCTAGACTTGTACTTTAATATACCATTTCCCGGCCTTGTAACGTAAATAACTATACTATTTTCTCGTGGAAACGAACGGAAAAAAGTTATAAGCGAAAAACGTGAAGTTACGTAAAATTTATACAATTAACTACCCTGTAAGNATTTTTAATACAACACAGTATGAAATAAAACGTTGTACTATACACGGCCGTGAAATGTCATTAAAGTACTCGTCTAGAAATTCCCAACTCGGCTCCTTCGTCGCCTCGTCCGTAAACATCTAGACTTCTGTACTTTCCCGTCCTTGTAACGTAAATAACTATAGCACAATGTTGCCTCTTTAAAAAGTTACGTGTCTTGAAAGACATTTTATGTCAATAATTTTTAGTTAACCTTTTTATCACAATAATTTTCACTTTATTTAAAGTTATTAAGATAATTCAAACGCATTTAAAAAAATCCTAAAAATCTTATCAAATAAAGTCAAATGAATGTTCTTCGATAACAAAAATCTGGGTATGCAACGGACATTTAATGTCACTGTCAAAATTATTAACTGATGATATTATGGAAAATAGTTACATTATGCTACACTACACTACTCTATATAGACAAGTCTATGCTTTGTAATATTCAAAGCCTAAAAACATAGAGCATATCAAACATAAAAAATTCCATCATATAAGGGAATTTTACAATGGCACATCACAGAGGAGAATAACGTTCAAGATGTATTCCGTTATGTCCTATGTTCCTTTTAATTATTTCCGCTGTTGTAATATTTCTTGTAAGAGAGTGCATCGTACTTTAATATTCTTCTACTTATTTTCTTTGAAATTAAAACTTAATACTAAGAAGGAGGTTTCCGTGCAAAAACCACATAAGCCATGGTAAGTACAACATTTTTTTCTTACCAAACCATTCATACTCTTCGAATAAAAATGTTTTTTACAAAACAGTTTTTCGATTCTACTGAAAATTAAAATTTCTTGACTTATGTTGTTTTTGAAATGAACAAGAAGGAAATGAATTGAAACTGTAACATTCTAGCGGCTATTCAATCCCCGTCACCGACATCTAATAACGAAGCACTTGTCGTCGTCAGAAAAACGCGATTCATAAGTTAATATTTTGTCCAAGCACCATTTTTGTCTATAATACTTGCAATCTACGTGGTATTGATTAAATTAATGGTCATGTGTAATCCTTAGTGATGTTATCCCATGCGTTTTCAGTTGCCTCCCAAAGTTCTTCGGCGTTAGCTGGATGGAAGATTCTGTCGTAGATTTTTTTCACCATAGATCCCCAGGCGTTCTCGATAGGATTGAGGTCAGGGGACTTTGAGGGCCAAGGTAAAATATCGATGTTGTTATCAATGAATCAATCTGACGCAACACTTGAGGTGTGAATTGAACAATTATCCTGCTGGAAAGTGAAATTCTGATGGTACAGTATAACATTTTCCATTATGCGCACATAGCCGAAGTCCAGTGAGACGCTCTTCCATCCACCAACAAACACCAGACCCTTGGTAGCTTATCTTAGTCCAAATGTTAATGGAAAATCTTCCGTTGCACTATATGGGCTCCGAATACCTTGTATTCTTCGGTCAGTAGATACGGACAGAACCATCGAAACAAGTCTGAAAACTTTTCTCCTCCGAAAATATAACATTCTCCCAGAAGTTGTGTGGTCTTCCTACAAATTGTCTTGCAAACTCCTACCTTTGTTCTCTATGCTGGGGAGTCAAAGCAACTTTATCTGCGGCCACATAATTCTTCACCTCCGAATCTTTCATCCGCTTGCTTCCTTGTCAGAAGGATTTCTTTTTAGGTGGTCAAGGAATAGATTATCTTCTCCAATGCTGCTTACATTTCGACGCCCACCTCCGTGAATATAACGTACATGCAGATCAACCGCAACTGCTTGCAATGACCAACCAGTCTGAAGTTATGATAGTTCTCACTTCTCTGGTTCCGTTAAACGCAACATCTTGAATTACCAAGCAAATTCGCTAATGACACTGACATAAAAACTTGTCATAATAAAAAAGCATACCACATCACATTAGAAAAATAAATCGCCCCCTTTCAGGGTCGGCACTGTACACATTCCTCAAACTTTAAAACATGCTAGAATTGAGTCCCTTTATGTTAATACAAAGCAAGAGTACACTAAATTTCATTCAAATCCATCAGCGCATTATAAAGATATGACAGAAAATATAATTTTTCTTGTAAACTTTAACACAGGGTTTGATACAGGGTGTATTTCAAATAACGCGCCCCCAGGAAAAAAGCCTATAGAGCAAACTGCTTATAATTTGTCAATTAATCTATTCCTGCAATTTCTGTATTTAAAGTTAAATCACCCTGTACATTAACAATTTGAAACATCTGAGTTTTTTATAGTAATTTATATATTCCAAAACTAAAAAAAGAGAAGCATGTTTAATAATTTTAATAAGACGCTGTAAAATTTGTAGTGACGTCATTAGTGATTTTCGAACATTAGTTTTAAAATACCTGTTCTGGAATTCTCTATCTAACAAAGGAATAGAATGTAATGGGCATTTAAAAAAAATAAGTATTGTAAACTGTAATAAAAAAACGTTAAATTCAGTTGAAATAAAAGCAATTATCATAGAAAGAAAACATTTTTCCATGATTCAACGAAGTATTTGATGTAATTTCCTGATTACATACACACGATGCGATAACAGAACATTAACACTAAAGTAAATAAATGGATTTTTTTACAATCACTGCCTATAATTAAGATAGATAATAAACACAATCTTATCCGGTTTGTCAAAGTCTTCTAATTAATGGATTCTTAAGGAGAAAAATTAGAAAATGTCAGAAATAGTTAGAAAGACGGTAATTTAATTAATTAACCCAAAACTGTTATAAGTACAAAAATTTTACAAGAAAGAAATTTTTTCCTTTAAGACAAAAAATAAAAGCTATTGCATGATTTCCGACATAATTATGAAAATTGTTCAACGTAGGCGGTATTTTTGTTAATCCAATTTCTTCGTTTAATATGTCATAACGTGACATTTATATTAACGAATTACAGAATTAAGAGAATTAAGAATTAATTCAGAATCAAAGAATTAATTAAAGAATTTAATAGAATCTTAAAATTTGTAGAAAATTTTAATATATTGTCAGAAGCACAACATGATTTTCGGAAAAATCATTCTACTCAAACTGCAATTTTAATTCAAAAACTTGAAAAATATGGGTTGCGTGGAAAAATTGAAGACTGGGTAATATCTTATCTCAGTGACAGATCACAGGTATTTGCGGTAAATGGATCTATTTCGAAAAAATTAAATATAAAACTTGGGGTGCCTCAAGGTTCAATACTTGGTCCGTTACTTTTTTTAATTTTTATCAATGACTTGTCAACCCACTTTACTAATAATTTAATAATGTTTGCTGATGATAACTCATATTTGTGTTGTGGAGACAATCACATAGATAGATACTTCATCCTTTCTACAAAAAGATATCACAAAATATGCTGAATACTTCAAATTAAACAGATTATTTTTAAACATTACGAAAACACTTTTTATTATATTTTCACCTAGAAATTCATTTCGCGACAAGAGTAGCTTAATTAAAATAGAGAATAAATCTATTAAGCAGTCAGATACTACTAAATTCTTAGGACTTACCATTGATTATGCTTTGAATTGGGAAACACATATTAATATATTAGCATGTAAACTATCTTCTACATGTTATGCACTTTACAGATTATCAAAAATTGCAAATAAACAAACAGTTTTATCATTTTATTATGCAGAATTTTTATCAAGAGCATCATATGGTATAATTTTTTGGGGTGCATCTCATAGTTCAGAAAGAATTCTTAAAATACAAAAGAGAGGTACTCGAAATATATTAGGAATGTCCAAATATGCATCATATAGAAATACTTTCAAAAAATTACAAATTTTAACTTTACCGTGTGTACATTTTACAAATCCTATTATATGTAAGAGATAATAAGGATTTATTTTTACCAAGAGACTACTATCATAATTATCCTACCAGAGGAGGTAAAAATCTTATGATTCCCCTACATAAATTGACAAAATATGAAGAGTCCTAATATATAAGGGAATATTAATATACATCAATATAAAAACATCACTGGTAATAAAACATTTAATAAACAAATAAAACATTATTTAACTGAAAACAGTTTTTACTCAATTAATGAGTTTTTGAGCATGTATTAGTGGATCTTCGATTATGTTTATTGTCATTTTGCTAAATTATATTTTAGACTGTATTACGTAAGTTTTAAGTTTTATACTAGATTTAGTACTTATTATACACATTTTGTGTTACTTTGTAGTTGTGTTTATGATAAATATTGCATTTTGTACTGACTAATCCTATACCAACAGTTCACCAACCTTCAACAAAATTTTACAAGGCGTTTCACAGTTATTTGAGATTTTTTTTTAATTTCTTTAATACCCTCTAAACAAAGTAAAGGGTAGAGGTAAGTTGAGTTAAATCTGTTTATTTTGATCAGAAAGCAATATTCGTTCATTCCATATAAAGCAATATTTAATGCATTTGCAAAAATTAAATACGGTATATGGTTTTATTAAATCACAAATTTCAATATTCTTCAGATATTTGTTCGAAAAATTTTAATTTTATGTTTTTGGTTACAAAAAACATGATAACATTTTATTTATACTTTAGAAACTTAAAAATTTAATACAAAATGGCTTCTGAGATATTAAAATAACTCTTGATCTGTTCCGACCCTAAAAGTAATTGCTTTGTTACATAGCCAATTACAACTTTTAATTTCTGAGAAAGCTTAATTAGCTTCAATAAATAGATATTTATCTTAACAACCACGTGTTTATCTGAATACAATACAATGTTGCATCTGTATTTAATAATAATAGTTTTTTCATATAAGATGTATTTAAGCGCTTTAAAAAATAATGTAGCTGTTAACATTGCACTATAAAGATAATGGATACAAAGCACAATATATTTAGTTATTACGAAACAAATCGTTGTTAATACGTACCTGAGATAGAGGTTTGGCAGACTTATCTCTCATACTACCGATATTGATTGTAGTGGGACCAATAGCTCTAACATGTTGCAAAACTGGATTCACATTAAGGAAAAGCATGTCGACGTTGTCCAATAACTCGTTTATTGTTGAAGTAGTGTTGAAAAACTTGGCCATAAATTTGTTCTTCAAAGGAAAACTAAAGTAATCGTAGAATAACATTGTATATAGGTAGTAGATCGTACTTGTCACCCTTTCTTTAAAACTCAGAGGATAGACGAACGGTGATCCCAAATCAGGATATAAACCAGGATGCGCAGGATTTCCTATTTCAGTGTGGAATCTTGTGAATACTTCTAAGGAGCTTATTAAAATTGTAGGGCAATTATATATTTCTGAAAATNGTATAACAAAATAATTTCTAGTGCCACTATCGATCCCGGACAAGTCAAATTAAGGACCTAGGATGACAGAAGACACTTCATTTGATAATCCTGGACCAATATATTTCGATGAAAGTACATGGTGGATCATCCAAAAAGTTATCCACAAATTTGCGTTCCTACACGGTACAACAAAATAATTTCTAGTGCCACTATCGATCCCGGACAAGTCAAATTAAGGGTTTAGGATGACAGAAGACACTTCATTTGATAATCCTGGACCAATATTTCGATAAAGGACACTTTACTTTCAGCAATATTCTCACGAACCGCTTTGATGTTTTGTCTTTTTTCTTGTTTGCAACACTGTACCGCAAAAATGGCGCTAAATTCAAGGCTTACGTCAATTTTGGGACATAAAGTATGCATGAATAATAAAATTTTCTACAAAATAACTTCGTAGATATATATTATTAAGGAATGCTCTTTTTGATTGGCAATCGATTTTAATTTCGATACTTAAATGTATTCATATTTTATTTAACAATTTTCAATTAGAAAGCCGTCATCAAACATTATTAATTATAGCCGTTTCTTAAAAAAAAATAACACAATAGTTAAAGATAACTTATAAACTAATTTTATTTCAAAAATTCAAAATTTAAAACTTTACATAATACTTATCGTGACCTATGTCACTAACTAGTTAATCCTTTTGCTCCTCTTAATGTTCTGTCGCATGTTGTGAAAAATTAAAAAATTGTCATCAATAAATAAAAGTCAATTATAAAATTCGCTTAAAGCCTATTGTGATTTTTTCTTTGTTATATCTAGTCTACCCACTAGATGAGCTTTAAATAAGTAATAGACTTTCTTAAACAAAATAAAGAGAATTGATAATGTAATCACTGTTACTGAAATTAGGAAACCTATAACATCTAAGAGGTAATACTGATATAGGGGTAAATCAGCTGCAGGATTCCTTAAATGCTTAGCGCCCTTATTTCTGATGACGTATTCGGTCCACCATATGGCCTGCTCTAAACCTGTCATTGGTTTGTCTAAGGAGAGTTGTTTGAGCCTGCGCGCTGAATTTTTGTACCTGTAAGCAGAAACAAGTAATTCATATTTACTCAGTTTAATAAAACACTGTTAGGCCGTCAGCCCGCTGCAAAAAAACCGAATGATTTCTCCACCTATGCCCTTCAAGGTATCGTTAATTATGCACATGCTGACCAGTGTACAACCGTGGAACAAACACCGGTAAAGGTAATTGTTAATTGCAAAAAAAATCGCGTTTTACAATTACTTTTACACGCATGCCGAGGATACTAAACGGTATTTTAGCAACAATAATTAATCGGAAAACGGTCGGCATACGGGCAGAGTGGAACCGAAGGGTCGGGTGACGCCCTTAAAAGTGTAAATAAATATTGCATTTGTAAATGATTGTTACACGTATGTCTATTCGAAATTCAACGGTTTTTGGCAAGTGCACAATTACCAAAGGGCATACAATTCCCGAAGGTCTAATTTATTTCACACCTGTGTATTAATTGCAAAGGTATGACAATGATAATGCCAAATTAAATTAAGGTTGAAAAATGACTGTTTTATCATGCACTTTTGATTTCCTAAAGGGCATACGGTTATCGTAGATGCCATTCTAAAGAAAGAGTTTTAAAGAGAGCAAATTTTTAGGTTATATTTCAACGATAGCGCCACGTATGGCATTGTTATTTTTGTTAACCAACGATAGTGCCACGTATGCCATTGTTATTTTTGTTAAATATCTACCTAATTATGCAAGATTTTAAACGGCACACAAATCGGTTGGACCAACATTGATTTTATCTGATACGATGGCTGCGCGAATTATCATATTATCAATTTGTGAGTTTTAGCATCGAAATTACTCCATTTGTCGAGTTGTAGCTGACACGCGGCATACCTGAGACTTGGAGTATACAAAACGCGTACAGGGTGATTCACTATATTTGAGAAACTTTGTTAATTTAAATGGAACACCGTGTATATTTTTTCGTATTTCGCTAGAACACTCCCTGCTGAGCATAATCATATAGGGTTTGTTGGATCTATCTCCAACAATAAGTGAGATACTATTGAAAAACGAAAAGAAGGTTTTTTTTATTAATAAAATAAGACGTCTTGTAATTGTTAGACGTCTTTCAGGCATTTATGCCTTATTCCCAATTACGTAAGTATTTACAGATTTAGTTGTAATATATTTTCACATATCGGACATTGATAGGAACGCGGATCGGCATTTTAACTAAATCTAAAATTCTAAAATCTGAATCTGAATTAGGCCGTGAGAGACCTAATTACTGATGGACAATGTTATATGGTAGGCCGTGACAGTGACAGGTAATGTCATGACAACATTGTTATTGTTTGACAGCTTGTATTATTATTTAATTAAAACAGAAGTAGATAATTCAAATATTATAGGTATTAAAATAGAGAAAAGTTCTTCTCCCTACTCTATTTTACAATGGGTGGCCAAATTATTAGGGACAGTACTCAGTTTCTTATATTTTCTAGTTTGACTGAATTATTTTGAGCAAACAGTTGGTTATATGGCTTGTAGCTATTTTTTATTCAAAAGAGTGTATTATTAAGATCATAAAAACAACGAGTTACGTGGGAGAAACTATTATTTTTTTTCGTAAAAACTATATATGCGCATCAATAAAAATCTGCTAAAATTAATCTTAATATTTAGTGATGCACCTTTTGCCGCAATTAAAGCTTTTATGTCTCGAGGCATTCTCTCTATACAGATTTTACAATTCTGTTGGAGTTCGACGTTGTGATGCCATTCTCTGATGAGAGTTTCAACCAATTGGTGCTTGGTGGTGATCACCTCATTAGCAATCGCCCGTTTGGTGAGTTCCCAGATGTTCTCTACAGGGCAAAATGGTAATGTTTTTTCGGCCAGAAACGCACTAACACTCCTGACTTTGTGGCTCGGTGCCGAATCGTACATAAAAATGAACTCGGCATTACCAGGGAACCATTCTTCGATATGTGGCAGTAGCAGGATTTTTTGTACTCGCTTGTACAGATCCTGCCTCATGATCCCCTCCACGATGTATAGACGTCTTATGCCCTTTGCTGAAATCACAGACCATACCATGACACCAACCGGGTATTTAACCATCATCACAAGGCAGTCTGGATGGAACAGCTCTCTCTAAGACGTCGTCGGAGAAATGAAGTTTTGTCGACCAAAATTTGAAACGCTGATTCGTCGAAAAATATTGAGATAATCACAAAAAAAATCTTTATTAACACTATTTTAATTAGTTGTTCTCATTCGAATGCAGTCAGCACCAGACATATTCTGGAGTTATTGGGCTCATTGCAGCCGCATCTTCTTCATGACCTCCATCAGAGGTGGTTTTTGGGTCGACAACGACCGATCAGGTTTTCTTCTACCAATCACTTTTGGACTGTCATTAGGGAAATTACAATTCCTTCATTGTTTATTATAGTAATTCTTTACGAAATATCAATAACGTTTTGATAATTTGTAACAGGAAAAACTCACGAAAAACGATTCAGAAATATTTTTTAGCATCTCACCGTAACAAAAATTTTTAACAAATTACCACCATATGAAGAGTAACCTCACTTATCTGATAAATGATGCAGAATATCAGGTTGCCACTCAACAAAAATATTAATAACAGTACCAGCTGCAATACAAAATAAAAAAACCTTGTGGAGACCTATTTGTTTTTTCAAAAAAAGAAATTNCACCCACTACTTCCGAGAAAAAGTACATTCAATTTATAAAAAAACAGTATTTCACGAAGACACCAGAGAGAGGTACTTATTTAGAGTATAAAAGTATTCTTTTTAACTCTTTTGTCTTCCAAAGATCTATGTGATGGGTTTCTATTTCTCTTTTTATCTCTAAATCTTGAGTTCTCTTTTCAAATCGAGCATGATATCCCACTCACCCTAATACCTTTTTTCATTTGGTAAACCTAGGTCACTAATAAAATCATCTAACTTCCTCCGTTAAAAGTTTACTGATGTTTTTTCATCCAGTGAAACTAGGTTATCTATTCTATATTTAGAAGTCTATATCTCAGTAGGCGTGCATTTTTGTATATAGGTAAGTTAGGCTAAATAGTCTTCATCCAAGGAACCTGTGGTCAAGCGTTGTCCATTCTTTTCAGGGACACCCTGTATAAATATATACACGTATCATACAGAAACGTTGAAAGTATTTCTCATCGTATTGTTTACCGTCAAAATCTTGACGTTTTCACAATTCTCGAGAAACCAATATCCTCCTACATGTACAGGCTGGTCCATTTTCGGTGGGATTTCAGGGTATCTCAGAAACAACTAAAGATATAAATCTGACACCACGTTCTCGAGCTCGATTTTCATGGCAAACTCGACTGTCAAATCAGAAATTTGCTATCTTCATTTGTTTCTGAGTTACAGGGCGTTTCTTGTTATTGTGACACATTTGAACATGCCTGTATCTCAGCTGTTAAATAAGTTAGAGTTAAAATGAAAACTGCTCAAGACTAATTCTTTGACGTAGAATTGAATGCCGGTATTAGATTTTTAGTAGGTCTTAAGATTCCGGAGTTATGACCCAAAGTTATATTTTTTTAAATGGAAATCGTAGCTGGTCATGATCTAAAAAAATGGAGATTATTTTTTGCTTTTCAGCAATATATCACATGCTATAGTTATTTTTCCAAACACGGAAGATACGGGGTTTTTATACATAAATTCGACCCTTTTTTAACATTTTAATATGGCTGGCTATGAAAATACATACAAAACCATAATTCTTACTTTTACAAAACTCATATCTAATTAATTAAAATCTATATTAGAGATAAGAAAAGACAAAGTTTTCAAATTTTTATTCCACTTCAACTGAAGTTACAATATTAAACGTAAATTAAACAATAGTAAATACTACATCAATAAAAACTTTCAAAAATTATAGCTAAATGTTCAAATTGCAGTCCCTCAACTGTCACACATTTCACGCATCTTCTGGCAACGCTTCGGGTAGCATTCATTAAATGTATATTTGAAATATTATTAAAAAGAATTTTAAATATAATGTCTTTTAGAAAACCCCAAAACAAAAAGTCCAACGCACTCAAATCAGGTAACCTAGCTGATCATTTGATCGGTCCATTTGTTCCTATCCACCTATCTCCTAAAATTTCGTTAGTATTATATTATCACACGAGTATATGTTGTGCATTTAAAATAAACGTCATATTTTTACAACAGATATAACTTTTGTAAAAGTAAGAATTATAGTTTTATCTGTATTTTCATAGCCATTAAAAAGGAAAAAAAAAATATAGTTTATATATAAAACACCCCGTATCTCCCGTGTTTGTAAAAATAACTATAGCATGTGATATATTGCTAAAAAGCAAAAAAAATCTCTATTTTTTAGGCCATGGTCAGCTACGATTTCCATTTAAAAAAATATAACTTTGGGTCAGAACTCCGAAGTCTTAAGATCTACTAAAAATCTAATACCGGCATTCAATTCTACGCTAAAGAATTAGTCTTGAGCAGTTTTCACTTTAACTCTAACTTATTTAACAGCAGAGATACAAATGTTAAAAAATGCGACAGTAACGAGAAACGCCCTGTAACTCAGAAACAAATGAAGATAGCAAATTTCCGATTTGACAGTCGAGTTTACCATGAAAATCGAGCTCGAGAACGTCGTGTCAGATTTATCATATCTTTAGTAGATTCTGAAATACCCTGAATTCCCATCGAAAATGGACCAGCCTGTACAAGAATGTTTTTTTATCATGTTTTCGGCATTGTCTTCGGAAAAATATCAGAAAAAAAGTCTATCTATTACACTTTGGGGCTGGATCGAAACTGCATTGCGGGTGCATAAACTGCATCTTGGAGTGCATCAATTTTTCCGAATTTTCTAAAAATGGTAAAAATTGACTAAAAGTTGTAGAAATTTGTGTGCACGGATTTTCGGGGTCGGAGATTCCGAATCTGACCCTGAAAAATATGCCCGACGGCCCTGGGGCCCCCAGAGGGGCTAGGGGTGGGGCCATCTGTAAAACATCGAATAGCTCAGTAATTGCCTTCTAAATTTCCACTCGGGGGTTTTTGGGGTCGGAGATTTCGATTCTGACACTGAAAAGTATGCCCGACGCCCCTGGGACCCCCCAGGGGGACAAGGGAGGGCTTCTGTAAAACATCGAATAGCTGAGTAATTGCCTTCTAAATTTCCACTCGGGGGGTTTTGGGGTCGGGGATTTCGATTCTGACACTGAAAAGTATGCCCGACGCCCCTAGGGCCCCCCAGGGGGGGGCAAGGGAGGGCTTCTGTAAAACATCGAATAGCTGAGTAATTACCTTCTAAATTTCCACTGGGGGGTTTTTGGGCTCGGGGATTTTGATTCTGACACTGAAAAGTATGCCCGACGCGCCCTGCCCCCCCTCAGGGGACAAGGGGGGACTTCTGTAAAACATCGAATAGCTGAGTAATTACCTTCTAAATTTCCACTGGGGGGTTTTTGGGCTCGGGGATTTTGATTCTGACACTGAAAAGTATGCCCGACGCGCCCTGCCCCCCCTCAGGGGACAAGGGGGGACTTCTGTAAAACATCGAATAGCTGAGTAATTGCCTTCTAAATTTCCACTCGGAGGTTTTTGGGGTCGGAGATTCCGATTCTGACACTGAAAAGTATGCCCGACGTCCGTGGGGTGGGCTTTCTGGAAAACATCGAAAGGCATATCAGATTTTTGCAAGAAAACTGCTCCACCTGCTTACCAACCAATGCTGTTTCGATCCAGCCCCAAAGTGTAATAGATAGACTTTTTTCCTGATATTTTTCCGAAGACAATGCCGAAAACCGCAACTCGATCGGTTCATCAGAAAAAAAATTCCATATTCTGGGTGATTTTGGTATAACTTGCCTGGACTATGTCATTTATCTTTTAGAAATAACTTTTGTCAATTGAAATGCAGTTGATCGATTATACTTTTGCATAAGTTCTTGCATCTTCATTGAAAAATATGATGGGTACTTGTTAATGCTCATATCAATAATTGAGTATCTGAATATATTATAATTTTTTTTCTCAAATTCAAAAGAACTTGCCGATAATTTGAACCATTTTGACTATATTTTACTTATTTAGTAGTTATTATAGCTCCAAATTACCAGAGTTCACCTTTATTGTTTTTATGGATAGTAAATACTTGAGGGGAAGAGATTTTAATTACAAAAATTGGCTAAAATCAAAGCCTGTACGGCAGACTGCAAGGCGCAGAAAGGTACTTAGGCCAGGAAAATAAGCTGGGAAATGACCTTTTTGTTTCGGCAAGCTGAATTTATCACTATAGATGCTAAATATTATGTATAACAACATATTACTTTCCACAATCATAAAAATGGGGGGAAGATTGTTTATAGGGCAGTTAATTGTATAATTTTTACGTAAATTCACGTTTTTCGTTTATAACTTTTTTCCGTTCATTTCTACGTGAAAACTTTTTTTTCGTCTTCAAAAGACCACCAAAACTAGCCCTCGAGCGTCAAAAAATATTGATTAGATCAAAAGTTATAAACAGAGGTAGTTTATTTATGACTTTTGAATTAAACATTTATAAACTGCGTTATTATTACCAGAACGTTTTGGCATCGCATCCTCTCATTCCTTATCATCNTCAAAAATGATAGCTAAATGTTCAAATTGCCGTCCCTCAACTGTCACACATTTCACGCATCTTCTGGCAACGCTTCGGGTAGCATTCTAATGAATGTATATTTGAAATATTATTAAAAAGAATTTTAAATATGATGTCATTTAGAAAACCCCAAAGAAAAAGTCCAACGGACTCAAATCAGGTAACCTAGCTGGCCATCTGATCGGTCCGTTTGTTCCTATCCGCCTATCTCCTAAAATTTCGTTAGTATTATATTATCGCACAATATGTTGTGCATTTAAAATAAACGTCATATTTTTACACTTTTGTAAAGGTAAGCACCTGTACCTGTATTTTCATAGCCAGTCATATTAAAAAGGAAAAAAATATATAATTTATATATGAAACACCCCGTATCTCCCGTGTTTGTAAAAATGACTATAGCATGTGATATATCGCTAAAAAGAGAAAAAAATTCTTTATTTTTTTAGGCCATGGTCAGCTACGATTTCCATTTAAAAAAATATAACTTTGGGTCATGACTCCGATATTTTAAGATCTACTAAAAATCTAATACCGGCATTCAATTCTACGCTAAAGTATTAGTCTTGAGCAGTTTTCACTTTAACTTTAACTTATTTAACAGCTGAGATACAGACATGTTCAAAAATGTGACAGTAACGAGAAACGCCTTGTAACTCAGAAACAAATGAATATAGCAAATTTCCGATTTGACAGTCGACTTTGCCATGAAAATCGAGCTCGAGAACGTCGTGTCAGATTTATCATATCTTTAGTAGTTTCTGAAATACCCCGAATTCCAATCGAAAATGGACCAGCCTGTACAAGCACTGACTTTGATATTTTTAAAGAAAAAAATCGTACGCCAATGGTTTTTTCCCAAATAAAAAAATATTTTTGAAATCTCCGTTCGCATTCAAAGATAAGATCTATCTTGAGTTTTGTCCTGCTTTGCGCCGTTTTCGAGTAAAAAAGTAAAACCCGTTGTATTATCCGTAAATGTAATTACTTGAAAAATACAATTTTGTAATAAACCTAGTTGGCCTGGAATATGTCACTTGCATTTCTGACATTTTGAAGTAAGTATATATCGTTCAAATCTGTTCGCTGTGAATCTTATCTTATTTTTACAATCTTGTTAATAATGGTGAATTATTCAAATGTTGAAATGGTGCAAATGCATTACGTGTATGGCCTCGCCGAAGGTAATTCAGGGCAACCCAGACGTATTTATCACCAGAGATATCTCAATCGTGTGTTGCCAGATAGTCGAACCTTTTCTAATATTCATCGTCGTCTTATTGAAACTGGTAGTGTCTGAAAACGTACCTACATCTGAAGGTAGACCTCGAAATGGTAACCCCTGAAATTGAAAAAGCGGTGCTGCACGAAGTCGAAACCTGAAACGAGTACGAAGAAGATCGCAATATATTTGAATACTTCCATCAAATTGTTTGGAGAATTTTAATGGATTTTTTGTTATATCCGTACCACATTTTAAGAGTACAGACAGTACTTCCGAGAGATTTTCCAAAGCGTGTGACCTTTTGTCAGTGGTATCTTCATAATGTTATGCGTAATTTAAATCACACATTCTGTTTACGAACGAAGCTAATTTTTCATGAAATACCATTTCAAATTTACACAACAATCATTTGTGGGCGAATGAAAACCCATTTCCAACACTAATTTTCAGTCAACGTATGAGCAGGAATCATTAGTAGCCACTTTATTGGACCATTCTTCCTGCCGGGACGACTTGACGGACAATCTTACCGCAATTTCCTTCAAGAACAATTGCCTTTGCTGCTTGAGGTGTTCTGACAGGAATAAGAAACCAAATGAACATATACGATGGTGCACCAGCACATTTTAGTGTAATGGTTCACAATTACTTATAAACTGTTTATCCAAATCGTTGGATTGGCTGGGGTAGACCTCAAGAATGGCTACCAAAGTCCTCCGACCTCAATAGCTTAGGTTTCTTTTAAGAAGCCATCTTAAAACGCTAGTGTATACAAGTCCCATTAATACTGTAGATGAATTAAAAGAAAGATTAATTGCAGCATGTGATAGAATAAAAAATACTCCGGGAATATTTCAACGAGTGGGCAATTTCATGAGAAGTAGAGCGGAAGAATGCTATTAAGTGAAGGTCATTTTCAACAATTTTTGTAATAATAATTTTATTGTTAATTAGTTGTAATGTTATGTTAGTTTTGTATGTTGTTAATTGTTGTTGTTTATTACAAGCAGATACCAACCTGTATTTAATTTTTGCTATTAAATTATTAATAATTCTGTAAGATATTTTTACTCAAAAACGGCGCATCGCAGGACAAAAATTCAAGAGTGCACTTATCTTTCGAATTCAACGGGGATTTTAAAAATAATTTCACTTGGAAAAAAAAACCATTGGCGTATCATTTTTTTCTTTAAAAATATCAGTCAGTGCTCGTGCGCACGCCACTGCTACAGCTAAAAATTATGTTTGTATTGAAAAACATGCGCCTTTCTTAACTATCACTACGTACTAAATATCACTGATATATCTCAAGCAAACTATCATTAATTTTCCATGTAGAATCCCACACTTAAATATTCGCATATCATTAAGGAACACCCTGTATAAGTAGCAACACTAGCAACAGCGAGGTGTTTCCTTTTTAACTTACTTTGGGTTATTAATCACTTCAACAATGGCATTCTTGAGTTCATTTTTCTTTATGTACGGGTATCTTCCAACTTTTATAGCAAAACCTTTATTATTCATCAACCTAGCATTTTGCTCCTGATCAGCAAAGAAAGGTATTACAACACATGGAACTTCGTTATGGATTGTCTCCTCCATCGATTGCAAACCTCCTTGAGTTACGAATAGCTTTATGTTTGGGTGAGCTGTAACACATGAAACTGATTAAAAACAAAAATTTACTACTATTTTTAAGGCGACGACACATTATTTTGACGATATACCACGATACGCTAGCCATGCTTAATTAATAAAATTATATGAAATTTTTATGTTATTTTTTAGTTTTAGTTTAGTTTTAGTTTTAGAGTTTTAATCCCGTGCTCATAGTTATTTCTAGATTTCTTGAGTGCCCAAAATTCAAACAAATTTCGATATAATTTTTTTTCAGGATATTCATACAAATACATCTGAAACGCTCTTTCAAAGTTGCGGTTACAGGTATAATAAATTACGATCATATTATGTTTATATACATTTTCAACAACGTTTTTGAACATTTACTGTATTTTTTAAAGAATAATATTCATTTGGAGTTTTGGTTGTTCCTATGTATTTTTAAGAATTAATTTGTCATAATGAAATTAAAATTGTAATAATGTTTTAATTTTGACGCAACAACTTATCGAATTATGTATGACCAGTAAAGTTTTATTGTAACGTGTTATGGTAATAGTTTAAGTAACTAGGTGGAATTCACAGGGTCTAACAACGAGTGTACCTACGATAATTTAACAAAGAGAAATTTGGAACGAATACATTGAAGATGAACAAAAAGTTTGAATCTGGTTCGGGCTGAGGCAGTACTGTATTGGGAGTCATAAAGGTTTGCAAAAAATGTAATAACATTTCCAGGGTCGTATTTAGAAAAATGAAGTTGATGATGGTCCCGGAGAGACGAAACGTTACATATAAAATTGATTATGCCATTCGATAGAGGGCAAAAAGTTGCCATGAGTAAGTGTTCTTCTTTTTTCAATATCACCTCAAACAAGGCTGACATGAAACAAAAACGGATTGCCAAAATTTCGTTTTTCTCCAAATATTTCGAATACCAATCATGTTAGCCTTGATTTGTTTGATGCATAATGTTGGTCCCCTAAGTATGCAACTTTGCCCCCCCAGTTAAGCTACTTCTTATCTCTTACTGTTTCCGAGATCCCTGTAGTGAGAAGCGAATTTGTAACAACCTGTATATTCTAATCTATAATAATATAATAATCTCTACAGGGTGTAACTTTTAGTGGGGGTCAGTTTTTTAGGGGTAATAGTTCGTGTTCCCCTGAATACGAATCTGAAATTCTTTTTTTTAATCAAATAAATAGTCGAGTTAATTAGTTTTTTAAAATGCACTTTGATTAGATATTATGTATGGATTTCCTTTTTACAATATCGGACTTTTGTCAATATTAAAGAACAGATCAGTAGGACATTAAACGTTGAAGGTATAACGGGTGTTAAAGGATAATAATGCCTTTGACGTAGTTGTGTCAGAGCTCTACCTCGTCAACATTGACGCATTGTTATCCGTATAATACCAGATACCTTATTTACTATTTGTTTCCATAATAATTATTTCAATTTAAATTAACATATCAGTAGGTATGCTTCTTTTCTTAAATTATTATTTTGACTAAACTACTCACCTAATATGCCAAGCTGAGGCGCCCATTTTATTAGTTTCACATTATCTGGTTTACCAGGTAACGTATCTGCTTCAAATTTCCATAGTACCTTATAGGGCAATTCACCCAAAACTTCAAGGATAGCGTTTAGAGACTCCGCCTGGAGGTCTTTGCTTTTAACATTACTTCCCAAACTGAAGTAGATAAAACCGTTGGTAGCACTGTCCAAGAAATTCTTTAAGTCCTGTAATAAATAATGTTTGACTTAGTATTATTTTATTCAAAAAACAGTTTAATACCTTATAATTTGTTATACTTTGTGACGATAGCGACTAAAATTATAACAAATATAGAATATAATTGTTAAAATGTGTAATGTTGTAAACCATACAAAAAATTATTTAGTAGAGGCGTATCTGGAAGCAAACGGGCCATACTGTAAAGCTGACTAATTTGAATGAAAATAAACTGATTTAAATTAAATTACCTTGGCACAATGTAGCATCTTTAAAAAGTTACGTGTCTTGAAAGACATTCTGTGTAAATAATTTTTAGTTAACCTTTTTATCTCAATAATTTTCACTTTTTTTAAGGTTATTAAGATAATTCAAATGCATTAAAAAAATCCTAAAAATTAAGTCAAACAAGGTTCTGCGAATACAATTATTTAATGTTATTGTCAAAATTAGTAACCGATGATATTGTGGAAAATAGTTACACTACGCTACACTACACTACACTATATTCAAGTCTAAATCTTTGTAATATTCAGAGCCTAAACACATAGAGTATATCAAACAGAAAAAAAGGAAATAAACTTATTGTTTGAAATAAAATTAGTGGACACGTAGCTTGTAATTATTTATAAAAGCTCAGTGTCTTAAAAAGAGTGGAAAATTGTCTTAAAAAAAATTAAATACAATTGACTTCATTATAATCTCATTAAAAAATCATGTTATGTTAAATCATTTCTATTTTAGTTATTCAATATACAGTTCTTATATGAGTGTATGAAAAATTGTATTACGTAAATGTAATTACATTCATCACAATGAAATAATTGTCTATTACAGTCACACTCACGATAGTGATTTGATAGGGGTTTGATAACCCAAGCAACTTTATTTGTCTCAAGCGGCTTCAAGAACATGTTTTAGATTAAACGACAATGTTCTGGTTTTATACTCGAGTGATGACATTTTATTTACTACACCTCATATCGTAGTAAAATGTGATATATTTATAGGTATAGTGCCCTTTGAATGTGGTCAACTCTTATAAGCAAATTGTCTATAATTAGCCTTTGTGAAACTGACATTATATCAAATTTAATGTGTGTCTATCATTATAATTCTAGTGAGCACAACAAATTCAAAATAGGTAGCAAATTATTTATTTTTCCAATACTAAAATATATTATGATACATTCTAACGGCCATTCATTCGCCGTCAACGAGATCTTATAACGAAACACTTGTTGTCGTCAGAAAAACGCGATTATAAAGTTAATATTTTGTCCAAGCACCATTTTTGTCTATAATACTTGCAATCTCCGTGGCATAAAATTAATGTTCTTGTGTAATCCTTAGTAATGTTATCCCATGCGTTTTCAATTGCCTACCAAAGTTCCTCGGCGTTAGCTGGACGGAAGTTTCTGTCGTAGATTTACCATACATCCCCAGGCGTTTTCGATAGGAATGAGGTCAGGGGACTTTGAGGGCCAAGGTAAAACATCAATGTTGTTATCAATGAACCATTCTGACGCAACACTTGAGATGTGAATTGAACAATTATCCTACTAGAAAGTAAAATTCTGAGGATACAGCATGGTCACCGATGGTAGCATAACGTTTTCCATTATGCGCATATAGCTCAGTCCAGTGAGGCGCTCTTCCATCCTCCAAGAAACACCAGGTCCTTGGCAGCTTATCCAAGCCCAAACGTTAATGGAAAATCTTCCACTGCGCTGTGTGGGTTTCACATAAGGCTGCAAATACCTTGTATTCTCCGGTCGGCAGATACGGACATAACCATCGGAGCAAGACTGAAAACCTTTCTCGTCTGAAAATATAACATTCTCCAAGAAGTTGTGTGGTCTTCCTACAAATTGTCTTGCAAACTCCTACCTTTGTTCTTTATGCTGGGGAGTCAAAGCAACTTTATTTGGGGCCACATAATTATTCTTCACCACCGAATCTTTCACCCACTTGCTGCCTTGTCAGAAGGATTTGTTCTTAGGTGGTCAAGGAATAGATTATCTTCTCCAATGCTGCTTACTTTTCGACGCCCACCTCCGTGAATATAACGTACATGCAGATCATCCGCAACTACTTGCAATGACCAACCATTCTGAAGTACTTAAACTTATAGTTCTCACTTTCTCTGGTTCCGTTAAACGCAGCATCTTGAATTACCAATCAAGTTCACTAATGACACTGACATATGAAAACACCAAAACACATTACTAGGTAGGTAGCCATCTTAGAAAAATAAATCGTCCACTTTCAAAGGGTCGGCACTGTACACATTCCTCAAATTTTAAAACATGCTAGAATTGAGTCCCTTTATGCTTATACAAAGCAAGGGTACACTAAATTTCATTCAACTCCATCAGCGCATTATAAAGATATGACAGAAAATATAATTTTTTTGTAAACTTTAACACCTTGTATTTCAAATACGCGTAGGAAAAAAAACCTTTAGAGCAAACTGCTTATATTTTGTCAATTTATCTATTCCTGCAGTTTCTGTATTTAAAGTTAAATCACCCTGTACAGTAAAAATTTGAAAGTTGAGTTTTCATAGTAATTTATATATTCCAAAACTAAAGAAAGAGAAGCATGTTCAATAATTTTAATAAAACTGTAGAATTTGTAGTTACGTTTTTAATGATTTTCGAAAATGAGTTTTAGAATACCTGTTTTGAAATTCTCTATCTAACTAAGGAATAGAATGTAATGGGCATTTAAAAAATAAGTATTATAAATAGTAGTAAAAAACGTTAAATTCGGTTAAAATAAAAGTAATTATCATAGAAAGAAAAAAATTTTCCATGATTCATCGAAGTATTTGATGTAATTTCCTGATTTCATACACACGATGCGATAACAGAACATTAACACTAAAGTAAATAAATGGATTTGTTTACAATCACTGTCTATAATTAACATAATAAACACTTATACGGTTTGTCAATGTCTTATAATTAATGGATTCTTAAGGAGAAAAATTAGAAAATGTCGGAAATAATTAGAAAGATGGTAATTTAATTAATTAACCCAAAACGGTTATAAGTACAAAAATGTTACAAGAAAGAAATTTTTTAACAAGCCCTTCACCTTTAAGACAAAAAATAAAAACCATTGCATGATTTCCGACATAATTATGAACAGATTGTTCAACGTAGGAGGTATTTTTCAGTTCTGTTAATCCAATTACTTCGTTTAATATGTCATAACGTGATATCTATATTAAATAATTAGTTCAACAAAATCTTACAAAGCGTAATAATAATAATAATAATAATAATAATAATAATAATAATAATAATAATAATAATAATAACAACAACAACAACAATAATAATAATAATAATAATAATAATAATAATAATAAGAAGAAGAAGAAGAAGAGGAAATACACTGGAAATAATTAGAGGAAAAATAATATTTCATAAATTTTGTAGCGACTTTTGAATGGCTATATTTTAGTGAAAAATGGTCGTGTCGAGTTAAAAAAAACATTTTGAAGCTTTAAGTGTCTAGTTTCAAGAACTTTTGACAAAGAATGGTTGATGGTTGAATGAGAAATGACAATTATACCTCATACCTCAACAACAAATCATTGCACAGTAAAACCAAGAACGGTTTTCAAAACTTGAATAAATTCGTTACAAGAATTTATCATGGTTTTCGAAGAATGAACTTTTTTTTCATCCTTGACATTAATTTGAAGAAAGTGCAACAATATTACTTTTTACGGTTTTGTAGAAAATCTACCTCTAATTTGATCCATCAAACCGTTTTTCCGTTCCAAATTATCAAAGTTTTGGAAATAAAGAAATACATACGTTTATTGCTCTTAAACATTATGTAGGTAACCATTATCAAAATGAAAAAGGAGGAGCTTTCTCGACTTTTTCCACAATTGTACATTAGACATCGTATAAATTTCAAAAAAAAAAAAAATTCTAAAATGTTTTGATTTTTTGTTCTTCTGGACAAGTTTTTGGAGATTTGGGAAAACAATATCTAGTCGTTTCTAACACGATTCGGCCTTGCATTTCATTATACTTACTAATCTGAATTTCGTCCTCGATTGGAACACAATCATACGATTGATTTTTTTTTAAACTACTTTTTTGGCAAAATATATTAATCAAATGTTTTTGTAAACGTTATTTTTTTTGTCAGAAACGATAAGATGTTGTTTTCTCAAGTGTCTAGTAACTTTCCAAAAAAAAAACAAAAAAAAAACAAAAAAAAATTTAAACATTTTAAATTTTTTTTGAAAATATTGTGGGTACACACGTCCGCAGGTTATCCATTTTAAGTATTATGTCAAGAGCGCCAGCCCAATACAAACGGAGTAATAGCTTGTTGAAAGTTGGTTCTTATTCGTCAAACGCCAAAATTGAAAGTTTGAACGTGAAATAACCAAAAACCAATGCATTTTTCAGGGAATACTCACAGAACCTTCTATAAAGTGCGTGAAAAAAACCTTTATTTTTATTATTTAGAAAAGTCCCTAACATTAAACTTAAGCGAGTTATGACGAAAATAAAGTTGGTCCGTATTGTTTTCGGCGACAAAAAAAAACACCCCTAATTACCACCCCAATTGAAAATAATCGTGACCACTTTACAATTTACTTTATGTATGTACTTGTAATATGCTCTAGAAGTTTGATGGGTTTAAAGTGCATAGTTTTGAAAAAAGTTGAGCTTGAATTGAAAAGAGAATTTTCAAGAGAAGAGAGTACAAAATTGTAGGTTTTGCATTCTTGATTTTTTTTCTGGAGGATAAAAATTAACTAAGATATGGCCGTTTAAAGTTTGCATATGTTCGTAAATAGCAACTTGTTCAAGCCCTACTTATTTGATCTTATAGCTCTTGAAAAAACCTACAAAATGGTTTTTTGAAGTACTTGATAGCATAAAAACTAAGAGAGTTATGGATAAAAAACCAATCACATATTTTTGCAGATAGAACACGTATATTGAAGCATTTATGAATACACATTATAGCTACATTTTAGCCACAGACGTTGATTATTTATCTGTTATTTGCAGTAAAAAAATTTTTGTTATAAAAATAAAAAAATTAAGATCCATATAAAAATAAATTTCTTATTTCCCCTATTTTTGATTGCAAATTTTAATAAATAGGGTTTTTTTTTAAGGTTTGATAAAATAAATACATTACATTTTAAATAATAATAAGATTGTAAGTATTATATTTTGAAGTAAAAAAAAATAACTATAATTGTTCGATTTTTTTGCAAGGGATGGTTTTTATAAGGGTTGAAACTTATAAATAAATAATAAAAAATTAAAACAGTAAAGAAATCTTAATTTAATATCACTATATGATTAAATTATTCCAAGTTGCTGAATAATATTTTTCAACAATATTTTTTAATGATTACTGTCATAGGGGGTGGTTTTTAGGGATTGACAATTTTCAAATCATCATAATGACTTATTTAAAGATGATTTCAACCTATTACATGCTCGAACCTACAATTCTATCATTATTTTCGAATAGGGGTAGTTTTCACCCCTAAAAAATAAAAATCAACCCCCGGCACTATGTCACCTTTGAAGTAGAGGATAAGTAGAACCTAAATCCAAAACTTGGTGCAAATCGAGTGCTATTTGGGAAAATTATACAGTAACGACGTATTTTACCTTCAATGACTGGACTATAATAGTTGCAAGGACAAAGAACAGACGCGGGAGACACCAGGGTTCCAGAAAGGGTCCATAGCAGATTGGCGCTCGGAACAGATGCATATACATGCGAGCGACTCCAGACCAATACTCTCCAGCGAACGCTTGCCCCAACAACACTTCTTTTCCACTAACTTTGATTGTAATAAAAATACTTTTATTTTACTGTTGAGAGAGAGTTTTATTTTGCTGTATATCGCAAGCAACACTCAATATTTTGTATATTTTTAAATTTAAACGATATCTAATGTACAATTGTGTGAAAAAGTTCGAAAAAATTTTGCTGAGACAGTGGAATCTAAAAAACAAGAAATTAAATTTTAAAATTTTTAACTTTAATGCCTCCTAATGGCATTTAATTGATGTAAAGAACATTAGTACAACCTGTATAAGACAAGTTTTTAATGCATTTGAAACTAGATTTTTTCCTAATAAAAATTAATTAAAAGATATGGTCCTGTTAAATCCTTTAAAAATATTGAATATTTGAATATCCTTTTGGTAATTCTTCACAAAATTTTATATTCTTGGTTATTTAAAAGAAAACATAATACTATTTTATTCAATCTTCGGGTATTTTTAAATATGAAAAGACCACTGAGATTAACTTGATCAGTTCCGACAATAAAAGTAATCTTGCTTTGTTACACAATCATTTATTTATTTATTTATTTCTGAACTGGGACAAGCATGTGATAAACAACTAATTTCTAAGAAAACAACTAGCTTTAATAAATAGGCGTTTGTCTTACGAACCACGTATTTACCAGAGTACAATACAATGTTATATCTCTATTTATAATTATTCAATAGTATATCCAAAAAGTATGCACTCATTTCATATAATATAAACTAGCAACCCGCCCCGGCTTCGCACGAGCAAATATAAAATAGCCTATGTTACTCCGAGGAGTTGTAGCTTTTGGTAAAATTGGTTGAGTAATTTTTGAGTTAAATCGTAATAAACGAAAAATCAATCATCTTTCATCTAATGCGACCCTAATATTAATTTTAAAATAATTCACGATATATCTATATACCTAAAGACAACAAACGAACTCAAAACTAAAAATGCAAAACCTTTAAATTTAAAACAATATAGGTAACTACCAACAATGTGAAAACAAAACGAATTAAATTAAAGTACCTATGTTCAGGACTATCAATTTTAATTAATAAGTAAGTAGTTAGGTATCTAACTACCTAAAGAAAACAAACACGAAACAAAAATGCGACTATGAAGTTTTAAATGATTCACAATAAGAAAAAAACAAACAAATTATTAAAACTCAATGAAATAAAAGTATGTTTGCAAGTATCTATGTATGTTCCGACTACCTAAAGACAACAAATACAAAACAAAAATGTGACCTTAAAATATCGAACGCAATTATAACTTTCCAACAACACCCAGAAAGAAAACACAGTCGTCAGTCGTCACCTCCATTCGCTCCAAGTCAGTTTATTAAAGGATCACGCGCGCGTTATCGTTCGGCTTATTAGCTAAACAGTAGGCAAGACGGTGCGGGGGAAGGGTCGGCGATCGCATCAAGCGAAGCGAGGCGCTTGAATTTTATTCTCGCGTCCGTAATTTTTTTGCGGTTCCTCCTTAGATATTCATAAAAATTATATGGTGTAAAAGAGTAAAATAATGTGCATGAAATGCGTAAAGCCTCTAACTTATTTTAAATTATAAGGACTAATACCGTATTTGTGTAAATAGCTTTTACATTACCGCTTTATAATTGCCATTTTTTTAAACTATTAAAATGGATACCTATAGGTAGTATGTTATCTTTAACATATAGACATATGCTATCGCGGACTTTTCTGTAGGCATATATAAGATACACAATTCCACCATACATTGATACACTACATAAACTTTCGGACCCCCTCGGCTCGAACGCGAGGCGCGGGGTCACGGGGCGCCCGCGCGGCCCGGTCGAATCATGGCGACACGAAATTAATTTCGTTGCGCATTATTTTGATTTTGCTACATCTACTAAGGTATTTAATTTGCATGGTGTAAAGGGAAAAAATAATCATCATGAAATGCTCAAGCCAACTAACGTTTTTAAAATGATAAGGATTAATACCGTATTTGTGAAAATAGCTTTCCAATTATCGCTTTATAATTGCCCATTTTTTAAAGTATTAAAATGGATATAGTATGTTATCCCGAAGAGATAGACATATGCCATCGCGGACTTTTCTGTAGACCTATATAAGGTACACAATTCCACCATACATTATTTTGTTATATCTCAAAGGGTTTAGGCAGCGTTTTCGTTGAAAGCTCCCAGACGGATTATTTTTTTCCGACACCTCCAACAAATAACGTTAATGTATACAAAAACTTAACAAATTATATACTAAAACCTTCCTCGAGAACCACTCTATTCATTGGTGAAAACAGCATGAAAATCGGTGCAGTAGTTTTTGAGTTTATTGCGAACAGACAGACAGACAGACAGANTCCGACACCTCCAACAAATAACGTTAATGTATAGAAAAACTTAACAAATTATATACTAAAACCTTCCTCGAGAACCACTCTATTCATTGGTGAAAACAGCATGAAAATCGGTGCAGTAGTTTTTGAGTTTATTGCGAACAGACAGACAGACAGACAGATAGACGCGGCGGAGGACTTTGTTTTATAATATGTAGTGATATAGTGTCCTGGTACTTAATACAGAAATTCTTTTTTTTCTATTCTCTGTTATGTGTAAAGTGTGTTTGTCAAATTTTGTTAGTGAAAATTACATTAGTATGCAGTAAGATTTTCTAGGCTCATATTTTGAAAATATGTACGGTTCTAACATAGTAAGTATGTCCAATTAAAAATTAAATACAAAAAATAGTGAAGGCGCCGCGCGATGTGCACTGCGACATAAAATCATAAATATTTCCTATACTGTTAATTTTATCGAGTCGAACCAAGAGGGTATTATCGTTGGAAAATTCTTCAGGAACCTTATTTTTTATGCAGGCAGATTGCGATCGTCTTCTATGCAAAAATTGTGGGTTGTTAGCCATTGGACATTCTTCGTCTCTGGCGTTCTAAGCATAATAAAGTTTCACTTATAACATCAAAAACAAGCTGTACCAATGTGTTATCGATCGCCAAATTTGCATCATGCTGAAGTTAATAGTTTAGAGACTGTAAATAAAAATAACTTTTTAATTTTCACCTTTGACAGCCCGAAACTTGTTAACGAAGGCCCGTATGATAAAAATTTATGTGAAGAACTGACCTCATCTATTTGTACTCGACTTTTTTGTATCAAGTACTGGGACACCCTGTATATAAAAGCTATATAAAAAAAAGTAATATGGTAGCTGTTAACATTGTGCTACAAAGACAATGAATATATAGTACAAGATATTTAGTTATTACAGAGCAAATGTATCGTTGTTAACACGTACCTGAGGTAGAGGTTTGGCAGCCTTATCTCTCATACTGCAAGTATAGTCCAAGAGAATTAAGCTCAAAACCTTCGAGATATGGCTGTTGCTTGACGTAGATTAAATATTAGTAAAAATCGGTCGAAAATAATATAAACAATGAAAATATAAGGTTGCGCCAAGAAAAAAAGTTGTGCTATTCGCAGAAAAAATTAAAAACTGCAAAAATACTCAAAAATCACGTGTTTTTCCTAACATTTTCCAATATAACTTCTTAAATATGCAGTTTACAGAAAAAACTATTACTGCTGAAATTGTTTGTTATGAAATTTGCTATAAGACACAATTGTTTTGAGACCTGCGTATTCAATATTTTTGTTGCTAGAAAGCCAAAACAGCGTAAGAAAGTGATGAAAATCGAGGTAATTTTGAAGCGTTCAACTGATAGGTAAGAAATTGTCCAATTCTACTATAAATGTACATGTAAGTACTTTAAAGGATTACAAAACGAAATTCCAAAACCCGATCGAAATCGGTCTGATAGTTTTGGTATGAGACAATTTGTTACTAAATTTCAGCGCGAAATGTCGTTATTTTTTTGCGTCAGTGCTGGGGTTAAAGTTAGGCATTTTAATTGGCGCTGATTTTTTTACACATACTTGGACTCTTTAACTATCATATAGAATCGTTATAATATTAATTTTCTTTTTTTTAATAATTTTTGGAGCGATTTTAAAAATTCGAAAAATTTTAACTTTATAAACAAATACTTTCGTGAAGCCGTTTTGCGGGTTGGAATATATACCAAAGTACTAAAAAATAGTTCTCGGAAAGACGCTTAACTTGAAAAAAAGAACGTTCAAATCGGTCACATAAGTTCCGAGATATCAAGTGTCAAAGTCAACAAGCGTTAGCTGCAAAACTATGCATAATGTAACAACAACAAAAATTGAATTTGGTAGGTTTTTTAAGAACTTTTCGTATGTGCTTTTATAAATATTATCGCACGTGTGCTTTTTATATGAAAATTCAATGAATATCGCCAAACCGACCGTTTGAGCCGCAAAACCGGGGGGAGGGGATGAATGATAGAAATTGAAATCGCGCGTTCAAAAAGAGCGCGCCCTCTTCGGCGTTCAATATCTCGGCTTCTACGGCTCTGATTTTGATGATTTTTTTTAAATCGATATAGCAAAATGAGAGGAATTCAATTATCAAGATTTCATTGAAATATTATAAAGCCTTATCAGCCTATTACGACTGCTTAAAATTTCATACATTTCATTGTTGTATATTCATGTAAATAATATCGATGACTATTGTTAAGAGGTATTAATTTTAATAACTACTTGGTAATAATGTTTAAAATCTTGAAATTTTTATGTCCTAATGTAATTTATTTATTGTTTACATATAAAATAGAAAAAAATGCAGATACAAATAATTATTATTTGATATTTATAAAACGTATCATCGCATTATTAAAAAATGTATTAAGCTTTTTTATAGCATAGTTGCTGATTTCGCTCTCAAAAATTTCTTCCTTTAGTAAACAATTAAAAATCGCACTTTGCAATTCATTATACAGGCTGTCATGCGGTGACGACCCATTAGAATATTTCGGAGACTACTTCGATTTGAATTTTGAAAATTTTTGACCTGGTGGTTTTGGAGGTTTTATTTAGAGTTTAAATAAAATAATGCCATTGTTGTAGTACTTCCGGTTATACCGGTAGTCGCCACCTATTTGCTTATTATAAATGGAACATCCTGTATATTTTTGTATATTTGAATTCTACGCATATTTTTAGAGGACTTTTATAAAGCTTCCCTATATGTATCTCTAATGGTCTAATGGTCTTCGACCTATTTCAATTTCATATTTATTGTCGAATTTGATTGACCGAACCGCCAAAACTTGGTTTTTCTAAATGGGACACCCTGTATATTTAATAAAAATCTGTTGTAGAAATTTACTCCACATCTATCCATATTACACCTCCCTATACCTATCTTTTAATTTTTCTGTTTTTGACGGATTTTGTGATAAATAAAATGATCCAATTTCTTGCGAGGATGGCTATGAAATTGCTGGCAAATTTAAAAAATCAAATTAACCAACCATAAGTCATTATTTGCTGTTAATTTAACAGTGGTACCTACTTACAATTAGTTAAGCACTGATTTGAAAATAATGGACAACAATACTTATTCAAATGCTGATATTATAAGTGAAAATACCAATGATGTAAAAAAGTGAAAAACTTTAATAATACGATAATTATGAAAGTATAATAAACACGTTTTGTAAAAATAAATAAATAATTATTTGTATCTATATTTTTTTCTATATTATATGAATACAATAAATAAATTACATATTAAATAAAGATTTCAAGATTTTATTTAAACATTATTACCATGTAATTATTAAAACTAAAACCTAGTAACAGTGGATTATGTACCTATATCCTACCATCGATATTATTATTTACATGAATATACAGTATAACAACGAAATGTGGAAAATTTTTAGTCGTAATAGACCGAAAAGGGCTTTATAATATTTTAATGAAACCTTGATAATTGAATTCCTCTCATTTTTCTACATCGATTTAAAAAAAAATCATCAAAATCGGAGCCATAGAAGCCGAGATACTGAACGCCGAAGCGCGCGCGCTCTTTTTGAACGCGATTTCAATTTCTATAATTCATCCCCTCCCCCCGGTTTTGCGGCTCAAATGGTCGGTTTGGCGATATTCATTGAATTTTCATATAAAAAGCACACGTGCGATAATATTTATAAAAGCACATACGAAAAGTTCTTAAAAAACCTACCAAATTCAATTTTTGTTGTTGTTACATTATGCATAGTTTTGCAGCTAACGCTTGTTGACTTTGACACTTGATATCTCGGAACTTATGTGACCGATTTGAACGTTCTTTTTTTCAAGTTAAGCGTCTTTCCGAGAACTATTTTTTAGTACTTTGGTATATATTCCAACCCGCAAAACGGCTTCACGAAAGTATTTGTTTATAAAGTTAAAATTTTTCGAATTTTTAAAATCGCTCCAAAAATTATTAAAAAAAAGAAAATTAATATTATAACGATTCTATATGATAGTTAAAGAGTCCAAGTATGTGTAAAAAAATCAGCGCCAATTAAAATGCCTAACTTTAACCCCAGCACTGACGCAAAAAAATAACGACATTTCGCGCTGAAATTTAGTAACAAATTGTCTCATACCAAAACTATCAGACCGATTTCGATCGGGTTTTGGAATTTCGTTTTGTAATCCTTTAAAGTACTTACATGTACATTTATAGTAGAATTGGACAATTTCTTACCTATCAGTTGAACGCTTCAAAATTACCTCGATTTTCATCACTTTCTTACGCTGTTTTGGCTTTCTAGCAACAAAAATATTGAATACGCAGGTCTCAAAACAATTGTGTCTTATAGCAAATTTCATAACAAACAATTTCAGCAGTAATAGTTTTTTCTGTAAACTGCATATTTAAGAAGTTATATTGGAAAATGTTAGGAAAAACACGTGATTTTTGAGTATTTTTGCAGTTTTTAATTTTTTCTGCAAATAGCACAACTTTTTTTCTTGGCGCAACCTTATATTTTCATTGTTTATATTATTTTCGACCGATTTTAACTAATATCTAATCTACGTCAAGCAACAGCCATGCCAATGTGTAATTCTCCTGGACTAGTATTGATTGTAGTGGGACCAATAGCTCTAACATATTGCAAAACTGGATTCACGTTAAGGAAAAGCATGTCGACGTTGTCCAGCAACTCATTTATTGTGGAAGTAATGTTGAAATACTTGCGCATAAATTTGTCCTTTAAAGGGAAACTAAAGTAATCGTAGAATACCATTGTATACAGGTAGAGGATGGTACTTGTCACCCTTTCTTTAAAACTCAGAGGATAGACGAACGGTGATCCCATATCAGGATACAAACCAGGATGAGCATTATTTCCTATTTCAGTGTGGAATATTGTGAATACTTCTAAGGAGCTGATTAAAATTGTAGGGCAATTATATATTTCTGAAAATGCTAAAAGCTCTACATAAAACCACTCTACAAGAAGCACATCAAAGTGTTTCTTTTTATTATGTATCAAATCTTGAAGTTGACGATGGGGCAGTATTTCCTGGCTTATGTTGACTGACAAGTCGTGTACCCATCTATGAAAGTTCCACATGGTTAGTGATTTTTCAGCGAGGGTAGTTATGTCTGCGTAGAATTTGTAGAGCCATTTCACGTCGATTTCCGTTAGATTTGTTAGTTTTTCATTACTCTGTGGATCTGGTGTGACGACTACTACTTTATGGCCTCTTAAAGAAAGTTCTTTCCAAAAGTCAAAGAAAGCTATTTGATGGCTGTACGACGAAGTTGGCATGATTGCCAAGATGTCGGCACAGACCGCGAAAGACGCGAAATTTATAACAAAAACTATGTACTTGAAGAACATTTCGAACGAATTAATAGACTTTATCGATAGTGCGCCTTATTTATATACAGCGGTGTAATAGGATGTAAAAAATTGCCAATCAGAAGCAGTTGTTCTATACAGTGACATTGTCAATATAATGCAGTTCGTTTCAATTACAGGCCGACAAAAAAAATCTTGTGTTTTTGAGACGTGACTCTACCCATCTGTAGTAAAATTTTCCTCTAAAACCACACAACCTCAATTCCACCCAAAAATTGAAAAATTCAAACTAACCATCCAACCCTCCTATCTTTAGTAAATTTTTCCGCTGAATCCAAATACTATAAAAAGAAATTATGACGTATGTATTCCCCTCCACACACCCTTAGTTTCCCCCGAGAAATAAAAAAATCCAAACTGGTTATCCAACCTTCCTATGTTTTCTAAAATTCGCTGAATCCGAAAACGGTAAAAAAAGTAGTTTGCACGTAAGGGTTTCCCCCTGCTCATTTGTATCTCTCACTCACTTCTTTGAAAATAAAAATAAATACAAATTAGACGTGGCAACATTTATAACTTTTATAAAATCTGTCGGTAAAACCAAAACTAAAAAAAAGTTCCCTTTGCTCGTACACTTAACTTCGCCAGATAACATTTACAAATAACGGTTGCCACGTATTTATTTTTATTTTTGAAAGAAGCGGTGAGGGATACGGATGAGTAGGGGAAATCCCTCATGTTCAAACAATTTTTTTACCATTTTCGGATTCATAGGAAAATATTACTAAAGATAGGTGGATTGGATGACTAGTGTAAGCTTTGGTATTTTTCGCAAGGAGAAATAAAGGGTTGAAAAGGGTAAGAAGGGTAGTAATCGGTTTTCGATTATTACGTTGAAAACATGTGAATATTTGTTATCTAATCTTGCGGGTGTAAAAATATGCGTAACTAAAGAAAAACGTAAATACCTAAAACAAAATTGGCCTCTTGTCGGGGCAGATCAGGATTTGGCTATTGTGATTGTGCGATTAGGCGATCCTTTCTTAGTGGGTGCCACTAATTACTGGGTATGTCAATGTACTGCGCTTCTATTTGTAAATATGACTGTGTCCATTTAACATTAAACATGTACATGGTGTGATATATCTACTGCACAATCAATAAACAACTGTGATACTGTCTATCACCATTAGTCCAGGCGCTATCTGTTTCGGGTTGGGTAAAACGCATATGATCGGAGATTTTTGCTTTAATGGCTTCTAAACAACATCAGAAATCATAATATTTCTATGCAAATAAAAAAAAAACGTGGGCTTAATTGTTATTGCAAAAAAGTATAAAAAAATTGCAAAAAATTTCATTTTTTTCTTGAATATCTCGTCGACAACTTAGCAACTATTCATTTTAGACAAAAATGGAACGGGAAAAAAAGTTTTGTTATTAAATTTTGATCAAGATAGAGTTAGTTGCAATTCGAAAAAATAATTATTGTTATTGCAAAAATCGGAAAAATCATTTAAAACATTGCAAAAATGCTAGTTTATTTGTCAATTTTGAACTTGACACTTGAATAATACCTAGGATCTTCATACTTTTCCCAATTAAACTTCTTAGTGTATAGAATCATCACACCAAATTTCATCCAATTCTGTTATATAATTTTTACATAATAATTGTTTAAATTTTTTATTTTTTTTAAATTAAAAAATTTTCAAAATGAAATTTCTAAAAATCTAAAGCCTTTGAATACTTGAAAATTTCACCACAAAAAGAAGAGCTCTCAAGCTTTAAAATGGTTTTTAAATATTTCGAATCGGACGCTTAGGTGAGCCGTGGTGATTGTTTAAACACTTTCGCAATTTTCACGCTTATAAACAATTGCAATAATTTAATGTTTTTTCAATTTTTTTTTTATTTTAAAATATGGTTTGAAAGTACTCGGAAAGACGAATATTTAAAAAAAAAACTGATGATCCGCCCATTATTTTCGGAGTTATAGCCCGTTAAAGTTAACCCTTGTTTACAACAAAACTATAAGGCTATAAGGGCTGTTTTTTGAGCTAATAGGCTTGTCATTCCGAGTACTTTCCAGATATCAATTTTGAAAATTTGCAGTCACGGGCGTCCCATTTAAAATGTCACTCAAAGATATTCAAAACCGCGTGAAATCAATGAAATATCAGTGGTGGGGGGAGCAAACACACAGCTACTCCGATCTGAATTCTCGAGTTCAAAAATGCCAAGGGCAAATGTGTAAAAATGCTTACAAAACGGTGAAAGTAGACGAGTTCAGAGTCGTTAGAAAATGATATTTTGCAGTTGCACGAGGAAATCGCCGACAAAATAGATTGTGATAATACTGATGAGGCATGTGAAAAATCACCAACTAGTAAAAGAATTAGATTAGATTAAATGTAAATAAAAATTGAAATAAATAGTTTAAAATTTGAAAAAATCGTGAAAAGTGTGTACTGTTTATTGAAAAGATTCTTATATATTTTTTATATAAATAAAAAATAATTTTTAGATAAATATTTTAAGAGTAAACGAAAAAATTAAAATTGTAATTATTCACAATTTATTTTTTTTTTAAAGATTTTTTAAAAATTTTTTGTACAAGGTGTAACATGCAAAAATTTTGGTCGTGAATATTAACATAGTAAATAAATAAACATAATAAATTAATCATTTTTTAAAGTAACTGTTTATCGGCATGTCAAAAGTCCAATAATTAATAATAAAAGGTAGTTGAAAATATGATAATTGAATTTTTTAAGTTGCGAGACATCGATTTAAAAAAAAATCATCGAAATTGGTCCATTACAAGCTGAGAAAGAAATTTTTCCGAGCGTTGCAGTTTTGAACTCGAAAATTCAGATCGGAGTAGATGTGTGTGTACCACTGATTTCACGCGGTCTTGAATATCTTTGAGTGACATTTTAAATGGCACGCCCGTGATTGCAAATTTTGAAAAATTATATCTGGAAAGTACTCGGAATGACATACCTATTTGTTCAAAAATCAGTCCTTATACTCTTATAGTTTTGCTGTAAATAAGGGCTATAACTCCGAAAATAATGGGCGGATCATCAGGTTTTTTTTTTAAAGTACTCGTTTTTCCGAGTACTTTCAAACCATATTTTAAAATTAAAAAAAAAATAAAAAAACATTAAATTATTGCAATTTTTTATAAGCGTGAAAATTGCGAAAATGTTTAAACAATCACCAGGGCTCACCTAAGCGTCCGAATTGAATTTTTCAAAAATCATTTTAAAGCTTAAGAGCTCTTCTTTTTGTGGTGAAATTTTCAAGTATTCAAAGGCTTTAGATTTTTAGAAATTTGATTTTGAAAATTTCTTAATTTAAAGAAAAATAAAAAATATAAACAATTATTATGTAAAAATTATCTAACCGAATTGGATGAACTTTGGTGTGATGATTCTGTGCACTAAGGAGTTTAATTGGGAAAAGTATGAAGATCCTAGGTATTATTCATGTGTCTGAAAAAAATTGACAAATAAACTAGCATTTTTTGCAATTTTTTAAATGATTTTTCCGATTTTTGCAATAATAATAATTATTTTTTCGAATTGCAACTAACATTATCTTGATCAAAATTTAATTACAAAACCTTTTCTCCTTTTCCATTTTTTGTCTAAAATGAATAGTTGCAAAGTTGTCGACGAGAATTCCAAGAAAAAAATGAATTTTTTTGATATTTTTTTATACTTTTTTGCAATAACAATTAAGCCATCGTTTTTTTTTATTTGCATAGAAAAATTATGATTTCTAATGTTGTTTAGAAGCCGTTAAAGTAAAAATCTCCGATCATCTGCGTTTTACCCAAGTATACCCTTTTTAAAACAGATACCGCCTGGACTACAAACTATTTCATATATTAATCATCTAAACATTTTCGTACTGTTCTTGACCCCTCCCGGTGTCAACTCCAGGTGTGCAATGGATGTTAGGGGTAAACTCACAAAACACCTACCCAGAGTGCTCCCATCTTGTGGCACCGATTAGCCTGAGATCACCTTCCCGACTAATCCACCAGTAGCAGGTGTTAATCGATGCAAAGAGCAAACTCGCGATGCATCCCAGATGGGTACCGTGCCAAAAACATCACAAGACTCACTCAAAAATATTATATTCATCAACATATTACTAACACAAAATAATCCTTCCTATAACAACCCTTATTATTACTCAAATGACATTTTACTATTACTGGGTATATCCCGAAATATGATTTTACTAATCTAAGCAAAGGACACTTAATTATTTCTTCAAAAGAATATACAATCTAATTAATGATGCTCGTCAAGTTAAATATCTAACTTCTCAATAACTTGACAACTTGACAACATAAAATAGAACAATACTAACAATTGCTTTCCAAATTTACTTTATGTGAATTAGCTATAATTTGTAATAAACAGTTATAACTCAATGCGGAAATTCACGAGTTATATGAATTTGCTGTGAGAAAAACTCACAAATTCTATGAATAAGCCAACTAAACAGATACGCTCAGTGAGAGAATTCACACATAATATCATTATTAGAGTTTTATTCCCGTGTCCATAGTTATTTCTAGGCTTCTCGAATGCTCAAAATTCAAACAAACTCCGATCTATTTTTTTCAGGATATTCATTCAAATACATCTGACATGCTCTTTCACAGTTGCAGTTACAGATATAATAAATTCCGATAATATTACGCTGATCTTCGTTTTTAACCTCTGTCAAAACGAAAATGGTTGAACATTTACTGAAATTTTTTAAAGAATGTTCAGGTGGTGTTCTGGTTGTTCATATACATTTTTTAGAAATAATTTGTCATAATAAAATTAAAATTGTAATAATGTTTTAATTTTGATGCAACAACTTATTGAGTTATGCATGTATAACCAAGTGATGGTAATGGTTAATAATAATAAATGTTTTATTGTAACGCGTGGTGGTAATAGTTTAAATAACTAGATAGATTTCACAGGGTCTAAGGACACTTACAGTGTACGATAAATCAATAAACA